TTCCTTTTATTCCTTCTTCTTGCCTAATTGCTCTGGCTAGGAATTCCAGTACTATGTTGAATAGGAGTGGAGATAGTGGGCATCCTTGTCTCATTCGTGATTTTAGAGGGAATGCTTCAGTTTTTCTCTGTTAAGTATAATGCTGGCTGTAGGTTTGTCGTATATAGCTTTTATAACGTTGAGGTGCTTTCCTTCTATTTCTAGTTTTCTTAGAGTTTTTATCACGAAATGGTGTTAGATCTTATCAAAGGCTTTTTCTGCATCTATTGAGATGATCAAGTGGTTTTTGTCTTTGCTTCTGTTAATGTGTTAAACCACCCCTGCATTCCTGGGATTGGCTGTCTGTTATAGGTGCCAGGTTCTCATAGGTGCTTGGGTTGTTGGTAAACAAGGGACATCTGCTTCATGGAGTTTGCCTTTCATAGGATGAACGATTATGTGACGGATACAAATCATGTGGTGTAGCAGAAGCTGCTACGTGCAACAGTGGGAAAAGTGACTAAGAGGGATAGGGAGTGCCAGAATGAGGGTGGTGTGCTGTGGTTCTAGATACAGTGGTCAGGGTGGCCTTGTTTAGAAGGTGGTATTTACTAAAGGTTTGAACGAGTTGAGGAAAGGAGCCCTGTGGTTCTCTGAGGGTCAGTGCTCAGGCAAAGGAATCAACAAGTGTGTAGGTCTGGGGCAGGAGTGCAGCTCGGGTGCTCCAGGATCAGCAAGGAGGCTGACGGACCTGAAGCAGTTGGGGTAGGGAGGATGTGCTGGAAGGACTGTGGCACTTGCTGGGCAAGAGATGGGGGCAGTGGAGGGTTTTATGTGTACAGTCTTTTCTCAGCATGGTTGCCAGAGGCATTCCCAGGCTTATAAAAAGATCCTCTGGTTGCTGAGCTGCATCTAGGCTGTGTAGAATATGGATTGAATAGGAACACTAAGTGGCTGCTGCTGTAGTGGATGTGGGCTGTGAGCAAAGTGGTAGAGGAGTATAGTGAGGAATGGTAGATCCCAGCAGGGTTTGCTGATGAATCGGGAATGGGGGAGAGAACTGAGTATGCATTTGCTTTGGTATAGACAATTGAACAGCTGAGATGGGACGACTGTAGGTAGAGTTTTTTGTTTTGGGGGGTGGTACTGAGGGTTCCACTCAAGGCCTTGAGTTTGATAAGCAAGTGCTCTACTGCTTAAGCCACACTTTCAGCCCTAGGTAGAGGTTTAGAGGGACATTAGGCATCCGTTTCAAGTTTGAGATCTCAATTACGCAAGTGGAGCTGTACAGGAAGCAGTTACATGTACCCAAGAGTAGTGCGTGGAAAGAGATCAGCAGCCAGGTTACATAAATTTGAGAGCTTTGAGCGTTTAATTGGTATTTATGGCCTTGACACTGAGACAAGATGACCAAGGGAGTGAGACACCTAGGTGCTAGCAGTGCTTTTTCTGTCTGTGAAAATGGCCCTCTTGTTTACACTTGGTATCAACCTAACCTCTCCACAGGAATGATGATGAAACTGGGGTCTTTCTCAGAACTCACCTGATCCATTTCTCTTTGCACAGGCCAAAGCTGTCTTGAAATTCATTGAAGGGATCTCAGAGAAGACCCTGAGGAGTACTGTTGCCCTCACTGCTGCCCGAGGACGGGGGAAATCTGCAGCTCTGGGATTGGCTATTGCTGGTGCAGTGGCATTTGGGTAAGGGGATCCAATTCCCCATCTTTAGGAACTTGGCAGGAGGGGGTAGCGTTCAGGATTCAGGTCAGGAGACTGGCAGAATTGTTGTCTCTGATCCTGGTCTGAGCTGGTTCACTGTAATTTCTGTAGGTCTTGGGTGCTTGCCTGGAGACAGCAGTGCTGTTTCCCCCAGGCTACCCAGAGATGCACTGTGCACTTGGACACACCAGGGCCTCTGTATTCAATGTTTAAGTTGAACAGACACAAAAGCAAAGATACAGGGGTAAGAATGTTTAAACTCACAGAAACTCAGCTTTGCTGACTGAGCAGAGTATAAGCTGAATGTGAATGATTTGATTGGTAGGAAGTCTTGTTTTGTTTCTGAGGAGCTGACTTTGAGTTTGATGCTACTCTGCTCTTTTGTCCTGGGAAGATTTATGCAACTGCCAGTACAGTATACTCTTCCAACTTTGCAGGCATGATAATTCATCTAAAATTTACTGGATTGTCCTGTATGCATTATCTTCCTTGGTACTCCCTGTGTCTCTGTGGGCATCTTTGGATGGATAAACTGGGCCCAGGGAGTTCCAGTAACTTACCAAAGGTCCCCCAGCAAGTTGCTGCTGGTGGAGCTGTTGTTTGAGCCCAGCTCCTGACTTGTATCTCTTTGTCCTTGTTACTGTTGCTTAGGATCTTAGGATCTTAGGATCCTGGAGGTTGGCTGTGGCCTTTGCCTGAGGGCTGAATGAACCCAATGGCTTCCAATTTGAAAACCTCAGTGTAGCACGAGTGAGGAGTGTGAAGCTGCCCCTTTTTTCAGGATACTGGACTGGAGGCAGTGTGCTGGTTCTGCACACTGAAAGTTGTCCCAGCCAACAACAGATGTTGTTTGGTTTATTAAGGTTAATGTTTCCATCGCTCTGAGAAGAAAAATGTACCCAGATCTGGAGTTGTTTTTGTTTTCCTCCCCAGAAGGAATCCCCCCTTTTTTTCCTCTGCTGTTATCGTCTGTGTGGTTTTGTTTCTTTAAAGTATTCTAGGTTTCTTAATTTGTGAACAGCCTCCTTTTTCTTTTGTTCTACAGGTACTCCAACATGTTTGTTACCTCCCCAAGTCCTGATAATCTCCACACTTTGTTTGAATTTGTATTCAAAGGATTTGATGCTTTGCAATATCAGGTAGGGCATTTGGGTAAGATCCTTTGGTTTGGTGCTGGGGGGGTCATTGGAGTGCTTGCTTACTTTCTTTGTATTTACTTTCTATCTAAACCTTGTTATTGGTTTGACTTTTTCCCTTCCAGGAGCACCTGGATTACGAGATTATTCAGTCTCTAAACCCTGAGTTTAATAAAGCAGTGATCAGAGTGAATGTGTTCCGAGAGCACAGGCAGACCATTCAGGTGAGGCTTCTTCTCAGATCCTGCACTGTGTATCTGGCTTTGTGATGTTTCCTCACAGGCATTGTGTGCCCCATGTAACTGCTTGTCCTTTAGGCAGTGGTGGATTTATGGGAAACCTATTTCAGATTTCAGCTTTTTCTAAAGACAACATTCAGACAAACTAACAAAAATATGTAGTGTGATTGAAAAGTTGTAGTTTTGTCCCTTGAATATGGAATGTGTGGGATTGACAGTATGCTTGATGAGTGAAAAAAAATCATGATTTTGACATCATTTCCAGTTTTGTTTAGTTATTGCAGGTTTTGAAATGTTGCATCTGTAACTAAAACAATAACATCACCAGTTAAAAGTAAAAAGATCTTTGCAAAATATTCTGAATCTTTGTGGTTTTGCCAGTGGCCTATTTTCCTTTTAAACAGCATTTTCCATGAAAGCTCCATAAATCTCCAGCACTTTGTAAGCCTGAATGCTGTGCACTTGTCCAAAGGCTTCAGTGTTGTTAAATCCCTCAGAGCATCATGTGACAGGCTTGCAGAAGAGACTGAGACTAGCAGGCTCTTGCTGGAGTGGCTTCATCGATTGTTTTGGAGTTGGGGGTAGGGTGGAGTGGGAAGTGAGTCAGGTGAGCGTGGCAGTTTGCATCCTGAACTTTATGCCTGTGGGAGCATGTGACTGGATCTGTTAAGGAGGTAGTTCTTTTATCAGGCGATAAACAGCAGTGTTTATGCCTCTTACCTTAAGGATCTTAATTTTTCTTATTAAGTCTCTATTGAGAATCTCTTCATTCTACATATTTCTTCCCACTTTTGCCTGAGTTTCTCAGCTGAGAGGAGGAAGACTGATGTTGGTGCAGGTCAGGAGTGGGTGTGGTTGGCTGCTGGCTCTGAGAACACAGAGGCTTGTTAAAACTCAAGAAAAATACACAAACCAAAGAAGAAAAGCAATTCCCTAAAATGTCCTGGCTCAGCCCCTTCTTGAATTTGTAATCAGATGCCATCTCGTGTTACCAGAGTCTTTTGTCTCCAAACTAGAGAAGGAGCACAGAGGAAGTGATTTGGCTTTATGAGACTTCATTTATGGGCCTCTGAGGTCTCTTCTTTTTGGCTGGAGAGTGAGGAAAAAGGAGATGACTACATTAAAGTTTGTGTGCCTCCCCTAGGAGCTACTTTCTGTGCTTTTATGAGATGCTGTTTAATCTCTCTTCTCAAGAATCAAGAAATGATGGGATGAGAAGGAGGGTTCTGTAGTGCTCCCAAAAAAGAAGAAAAACCAGATGGGCATCTGGGCATGGTGGCTCATGCCTGTAATCCAAGCTAATTGGGAAGTAGGAGATTGTGAACAACACAGTTCAGAGCCAGTGTGGGCAAAAGTTAGTGAGACCTGTCTCAACACCACATGGGTGTGCATGCTTGTGATCCCAGCTACTTGGGAGGTATAAGTAGAATTGCTGGCTGAGGCTGACCAGAGCAAAAAGCACAAGATCCTATCTGAAAAATAACTAAAGCTAAAAAACAGTGGGGATGTGGTTCAAGTGCTAGAGTGCCTACGTAGCAAGCTTGAGACCCTGAATTCAAACCCAGTGCTGCCAAAAAAAATGCGTATGGGGAGGGGGGCGCTGTTGAGGATGTATGTGACCTGATGCTAGAAGTGAACAGGGCTGCTTCCTTTCTGATCCAGCAACTTCTAGAAAAGCAGTGAAACAATCTGACTTGTAATAAAACACTTCATACCTGTAGGAAAATTCAGAGACCAACATAACACTCAGATGCCCAGGGTTTACATTTAAAAATGTTAATATTGTTGCTTGCTTTGTGTGTCCATAAATGGTAGCAACCAGTAGTTCTCCATCTGCCACCTATTTTACTTAGCACTTGTTTTCAAGGTTTGTGTGCCTTGATACCTGTAGATCTGCTTGGTTCATTTTTAAGCAACACAAGAGTGTGTTACAATTGTTTTTGTTTTTAGAAGTGGAATTGTTGACGTTTAGGGTATGTGTAGATTTCCACCTTTCTGGATTTTGACAGATACTCCTTTTACATGTCTATGCCCATTTACCTTTACATCAGCACTAAATGCTGTTTAGCAATTTAAGGATTGCTTTCTTTTTTTTCTACACAGGATCTCCTTGTGTAGCCCAGGCTGACCTTGAACTCTTGATTGTACTGCCTCAGCCTCCTGAGTGCTGAGATTTCAGGCAGGTACCACCACACCAGCCTTCAAAGCAATTTTAAGTTTTGTCTGTGTGCATATGAAATTTGATCTCCTTGTCTTTGGTGTTTCACTGATTACTCCTTAGACTGAATTATCTTTATGTTAATTGACTATTCAGGTTTCTTCTCCTGTGAAATACCTTTTTTTGGCCTTTAAAAAAACATTTTCAAAATATCAGGAGGCCCTGAAGAAGCTGAAGGGGTTGTTTATATGTATGTGGATGTGTGAGTGTGATTAAGAGTAGTCTGGGAATTTCCCAGCAGTACAGGGAATTGGATTGGTGGTGTCAGGACAGGGTGCACAGCCCACAGTATGAGAAACCTGATGTCCTTGACCAGGCTGGAGCTGTGCCGCTGGCCTCCCTAATCTGAGGCTGGGGAGAAACTTGAGAGGACACTGAAGAGGGAAAGGAAAGGCAGCCACTGGCTGAAAACCCTCTAAGCAAGGCACTGTGCAAAGCTCTTTCACATAATTACCTTATTTGTTCCTTAAGCAGCCAGAAAGTAGGTATTTCCTTCATTTTAAGAATCTGGGACCCTGTGAGATTAAGTGACCTGTCCAGGATCACACAGTCAGTTATTGAACTGTTTGATCCCATGTGTCTGACTCTAAGCCTATTCTATTCTTGACCTGCCAAGAAAAAGTAGAAAGGGAACAGAGAGGGTAGTATTCACAGCTGTGGCTTCAGGTGGCCACCTCATAATCTAAATATTCTTTCCCCACAGTATATACATCCTGCAGATGCTGTGAAACTGGGTCAGGCTGAGCTTGTTGTGATTGATGAAGCTGCCGCCATCCCCCTCCCACTGGTGAAGAGCCTACTTGGACCCTACCTCGTTTTCATGGCATCCACCATCAATGGGTAAGGCACCTTGGGTTGGAGTCATTACTCTGGTCTGGGTTCTTGTAGAGTGGGTGGCATGAAATGAATGTGGCCTGGGCCTACAAAACTAAGTCTAAGTTCCAGGCTGAATCTTTGGGGTAGCTTTGAGCTTTCCTGAGGCTTCGCAAACACTGTCACTCCCATTTAGTCTGGCGTTAAATGGGCAACATAAGATTAAGGATTTTGGAACCTACATGATGCATGTTTCCTGTCTAGGTGTTTTTAAAAGTACCTGTATGGCAGCACCAGTGTCTTGTATCTTAGATTTATATGCAAATACTGTATTAAAATAATTAGCATTAGAAAGCAGGCTAATAATGGCATGAGAACTACTTGAGCCACTCTGCCAGCCCAAACAGAACTTTTAAAAAAAATTTGAATTGTATATATACATAATATATATATTATATATGTAAGTTTTATATATTATATATATATATAAGTTTTATATGTATTTGAAGTTTATATTTGCTGTGGAAAAATTAGAAAAATAGGTAAACAAAAGTAAAATAGTCAGTTGTAGAGTGTGTTTAGTATTCCCAAAGCCTCCCTAGTACCCAAAACAAAACAAAACCCTGGTATGATGTCATGCCTGTAATCCCAGCACTCTGGAGGCTGAGGCAGGAGGATCCTGAGTTGATGCCAGCCTCGGTTACATATGAGGAACCTGTCTCAAAAACAATAAAAGAAAAATCACCTCTTTTTTTTCAGTGCTGAGGCTTGAACCTAGGGCCTTGTGCATGCTGTGCAAATACTCTGTTACTTGAACCATATCCCTAGTCTTTTTGTTTTTGAGATGGGGTCTTGCCAGGTTGGCCTCAGACTTGAGATACTTCTGGTTTTTGTCTCAAGTAGCTGGGATTACACTAGGACCAGCTGTAAATTTGCTTTTTATATAACAACATATTGTGACATTTTTCCAGGTTATCTTCATGTAACAATATGTTGGAAAAGTTTCTGTATAAAAATTATGTCTTGAAGAGATAATTCTACTTTGCAGATTTATTTTGACTGCTTAATATTGAAAATATTTAAATAAAATAGATTTTTCCCTTTTTTTCAAATTCCTTTTTAGTGATACAATTTATATACCATAGTACTTACCCATTTAAAGTGTATAACTCAGTGGTTTGTAGAATATTCACAGAGTTGTGCAACCCAAGCTCAGTATAATTAGTTCTAGAACATTTTCATTCCCTACCAAAGAAACCCTGTGCATTATCCTCCAGGATCTTCCTATTCCCCAGGAAGCCACTAGTCTGCTCTCTCTTTGTATAGACTTGCCTGTTTAGGACATTTCATATAAATGGATTCATACAGTATACAATCTTTTTTGGTTGGGTGCTTTCATTTACTATAGTATTTTCAAGGCTCATCCATCTAGCTTGTATTATTTTTTCTTTCCTTTGTATGGTTGGGTGATACTCCTTGTATGGATACACTATGTTTATTTATCCATTGGTAGACATTTAAGTTATTTCTACCTTTTGCTTTTGGGAATCAGTTCTCTTGGTATATACTGAAGAGTAAAATTACTGGGTCAAATGGTGACTGTTTAACCTGATGAGGCACTACCAGACCCTTTTGAACTTCCACAAATAAGCAGTGTACACTAGTTCCCCTTTGTTCCAGGTTCACTTTTCACAGTTTTAATTGCTTGAAGCCCACTGTGATCCAAAAATATTAAATAGAAAACTGCAAAAATAATTCACGTTTTAAATAACTATAATTGTTGTGTTATTAGTTATTGTTAATAGTTACCTAATTTATAAATTAAGCCTTATTACTTGTAATAGCAGCTCTCATCGGTGGATCGTTTAACTTTGTTCCAGTTTCACTTTGCCAAAGGCTTAACTTGCAACATCTTTTCAGACCATAATTTTTAGTTCATATCAGAGCCCCTATGATGACTGCTGGTAGAGTGGCTCAAGTGGTAGAGCGCCTGCCTAGTAAGTAAGCAGCCCTGAGTTCAAACTCCAGTACTACCAAAAACCAAAACAAAGCAAAACAGAGTCCTATGATGTGTATAGAGTAATCAACTTTGGAGAATGAGGCTAAAAGAGATTGAGTTCCTTGCCTAAAGGTCTGAGTTTTGAGTCCAAGCTGGAATGTCTCTGAGTCAAGCCTTCCTTCTCTGCACATGTGTGCAGTGCTGAAAGCTTAACTGAGCAAGGCTATCCTGGATCTGGGGATCAGCAGGTTATCCTTTCTAAAGAGCAGATTGGGGGTTGCTTTTGTCTTTCCCCTAGCTACGAGGGCACTGGCCGCTCACTGTCCCTCAAGCTAATTCAGCAGCTCCGTCAGCAGAGTGCCCAGAGCCAGGTCAGCACCACCGCCGAGAATAAGACCACAACAACTGCCAGACTGGCCTCAGGTATCCTGGGAACCCTGGCCAGACCTGCACTTCACAGCAGGTCTCTTCAGACTCTCTTGCTGGGCCCTTGCTTCCTCTGTGGCCTCATGGGTAGTCCCAAACCATCCTGCTGTCAGACAGAAATGTTGAGTCCTAGAGGTGAATTGATTTTCTCTGAGGAACAGCAGTCCATTGACTACCAGATGAGGGATTGACTTGGGCCTTTGGGTGGTTGAGTCCTTGTTTGTCCCTGTTCCAGGGCATGGTTTTATTAACTTAGTGGGATCCCTTTGGGGTTGATAACATGGCAAGTTGGATATCCACCAAAATAATTTTAAATCACCAGTTTGGATTGGAGATGTGGCTCAAGCAGTAGAACACCTGCTTTGTAAGCATGAAGCCCTGAGTTCAAACCCCAGTACTGCCTAAAATAAATAAATAAGAAATAAAACCCAGTTTAAATTCTTGAGCCATATATGTCTGGGCACTACATGGCAAAAGGTATAGTGGAGCATTCCTCCTTGCTCTGGTGGTGCACATTTAATAATTGTTTCTAATTACATGTGATTTGTGGGGAACAGCACGGACATTGCACGAGGTTTCCCTTCAGGAGTCAATCCGATACGCCCCTGGGGATGCAGTAGAGAAGTGGCTGAATGACCTGCTGTGCTTGGATTGCCTCAACATTACTCGAATTGTCTCCGGCTGCCCCTTACCTGAAGCCTGTGAACTGTATCCTCTGGGTCTCACTGGCCCTGTGAAAGGGAGAAGTGCAAGAATTAAAAGGGTTTGGGTCAGGTGTGATGATGTATATCTGTAGTCTCTGTCCTGACCCTGGAGGTTGAGGCCAAGAGGATGATTTGAACCCAAGAGTTCACGTCAGCCCAGGCAACATAATGTGATCCTCTCTGAAAAGAAAAAGAAAAAGAAAATAAAAATGAACATTTTAAATTTTATTTTTCTTTCTTTTCCAATGTTGCGCTTCCTCTCGGGATACTGGGTGACTAACTCTTTCCAAGCTGAGGGAAATGCATACTTCTTCCTATATGTACTGTCTGGGACTCTCCGGTTTGTTTCAGTTACTTAACTCCAGACCAGCTACTATGTTAATAGAGATACCCTCTTTTGCTACCACAAGGCTTCTGAAGTCTTCCTCCAGCGGCTTATGGCCCTCTATGTGGCTTCTCACTACAAGGTAATTGCAACTAGCCCTTGATGACCTTTAGGGAGTCACTGAAGCTCCATTGACAGTCCTCTTACTTGTCTGTTCATGCCTTTTGTTACTGAGTGGCTCAGGTAACCATTCCACTGGGACTTGTCTGTAGTGATCTGCTGGAGGGGTTGTATTTCCCATTGTAGTACATGTGGCTTGTGTTGGGCTTCTAGCTTTGCACAGAGTACAGAATACCTGTGTGTAGCTTCATGAGTGGAAGCTGGAGAGGGTGGAAAGCTTTGCCCATTTTAAAGGGTACTGGTTGCTTGCCTGCCTACTAAACTGATAGGCTGAGTGCCATTGCACTTGTAACCCAGTGGAAGTATTTGACCTGAGACTGGCTTTGTACTGCTGAGCTACTGAAGGACAAGGGTAGAAGAATACTTCTTGAGTGTGCGGATAGCATTTTCATGAACAGCCTTTAATTGAAGATTGAAGAGTTGATGTTAGATGTGGTAGCACCTTTTCCTAAAATAGCAGCCTTTTATCTAGAGAACCATCACATCCCAGCTGTGAAATGAATAATGCTAAAAACTTCTGCTGCACGGCCTCAGCCTTTGGCATGACAGGCTAGTAGGTTCTGGAGGCTTAGCCCTACTGATGCCATTTGAAGAGTCTCAGGCTTGCCACAGTACTGGAAAGGTGCTTTGCTGGGTTTCATTGCCTCACCTGGCTTTAGGGGAAGGCATACAACAGTCACACAGTAATTCAAGTCAGGCCTCTTGAATAAAGGACAAGAGAAGGACTACATCCATTAACCCGTGTTTGTGCCCACAGAATTCTCCCAACGATCTCCAGATGCTTTCTGATGCGCCTGCTCACCACCTCTTCTGCCTTCTGCCTCCTGTGCCCCCTACCCAGAATGCCTTGCCTGAAGTGCTTGCCGTTGTCCAGGTACGGAGTGGAGGCATTGATTTGGGGAAATTCTTGTTCATCAGGAATTTCTGGGGAAACTGCTGAGTTCTGGCCTGGAGCCAAGTGGCTGCATCTGTTTACACAAGTGACTGGGTGCATTAGAAAAGGCCACCCTCTTCAGAAACCCAGAGCCCCACTGTCACGGGTGGGTAAAAGTCAGAACTTGTTCGTTTCACCCTTTATTACCATCAATGCCTGATATTTGTAAAGGCCACAGATTGAGAAAAGTTCAACCCCTGGCATGTGTGTATGTATCTTTATCTCATTTCTCCTTTTCATAAACATGGGATCACAGTTGCTTTTCTTCTAAGTCGTGTGTCAAACATTCATAAGTACTTAATTTTTAAAAAACAGCATAGAGTTTCATTATCTGCTTATATCATAATTTGTGTTAGTACTCTCCTGTAAAACTTGTTGTTTTGAGTTTGTGCTGCTCTGTACAGAGCTGCATGAGCATCTTGTGTCTTAAGTGATGTACACACATATGCATGGAGACCCTCTTTTAGGATTCTGCCTCATTAGTAACCTGGAACATGGTAATGAAGCTTCTTTTAGAAATGGATTAGTCAGTGTTGGGTTGAACCTTGGTGGAAACAGCTGTCTTAGAGAACCAACAGAATGTTGATGTTTGGAGTCTGGAGCTAGCCTTGTGTCTTCCCTGTCCTGGTTCCCCTCAGGTGTGCCTTGAGGGAGAGATTTCTCGCCAGTCCATCTTGAATAGCCTGTCTCGAGGCAAGAAGGCTTCGGGGGACCTGATTCCATGGACAGTATCAGAACAGGTGAAGGGCTACCCTTGCATGACTTGGGTGAGCAAAGCCGGTGAGGTTGTTGGAGGATGTTTGTGTTGCTAAGTTACTGATTTGTGTCTCCCACACAGTTCCAAGATCCAGACTTTGGTGGCCTTTCTGGGGGAAGGGTTGTTCGCATTGCTGTTCACCCGGATTATCAAGGGGTAATCTGTCCTTGTGCCTCCTGAACCTGCTGTGCCACTGTTAGTTTTAGCCTTGTCGCTAGCTATTCTTTAGAGCAGGTGTAGTTGGTTATTTGAATAAGAAGTAAAGTCTCAGGAACTTCTCTGCTCCATAGAATTTATCCAGGCCTTGGGGTGAGCAGGTGGACAGGATGATAGGCCCACTTTTCCTTTGTGAGAAGAGGGGACTTGTTGAACCAGATTGGCTTTCTGTAATTACCTTCTGTCACTTGGAAAGCCCCACTGAGGAATCAGCTGTGGAAACTTCCCTTTCTGGCAGTGGCACAGACTCGCCCTCTTGGGCTTACTGATCTGGGAACCGGAAAGCACAGCCAGCCATCCTCAGCCTACAAATGAGCTATTCATGATGGGCTAGACCAGCATAAGAAGTAAAGTCACACTGTGTTTGGTCTTGAGTCTCAGCCTTGACAACATTAAGGAGTCTCAGTAGTGCCTAGTGCAGTGTGACCAGGAATGAAGACTCCAGAAGTGATATGGTGGATAGAAGTGGCCTAAGTAGATTGAGAATGCTTTTCTTTCTCCTGTTGCCCTCTGTTTGCTTATAGATGGGCTATGGCAGCCGAGCTCTGCAGCTGCTACAGATGTACTATGAAGGCAGATTCCCTTGTCTGGAGGACAAAGTCCTTGAGACATCACGAGAAATTCACACTGTGAGCAGTGAGGTAAGCATGGTTTGACAAAATGACTGACCTATTTCTGGAGAGAATGGTTCTCTGGATCTTCGGACACCAGTGAGAACAGTCCAGAATCTGTGCTCTCCTACTTTGGGCATGCGGCTGCTTTCTCCAGCCTAACACTTGAGATCCTCAGACCAGTATCATCAGCGTCACCTGGAAACTTATTAAAAATGTACATTCGTGAATCCTACCCAGACCTGCTGAATCAGAAACTAGGTTTTCTGTGCTTTCGATACTCCCTGGTGACTAATGGATATCAGAGTTGAGAAGCCCTGCTCTGCATTGTACTCCTTATTAGCACAAATCCAGACTGCAGGAAGCTCTGCCTTTCCTTGATAAGGATGATCACTTGTGACTAACAGCTTTTCACGTGCACTCACTGACTTCACAGTGTGTCCATGTAGGAGCTGGGGAATAGGCTTGGATCAGATGGCAGCCTCAGAGCTGTCAGGTGGCAGAACTTGAACTTCATCTGGATCTTCAAAACCCTGGTTCTGTCCCTTCATAAATTTATTAGACATTGCTAAATTGTGTCCTTCTTCCTGAATTCTAGGTTCAGATTAGTGTGATCTCACACATGTTTAGTTGTTTGGGATACCTGGGATGATCATGTGACTCATTAGAGTTCTGTTTGAAAACCATAGGATCAGACCATGAAACCTCTCCTGGTTTTCGTTTTGTGTTGTGGCAGGAGCCTGAGAATATCACTAGTCACTCTGTCCCTGCTGATTGAGTATTGTCCTCTCTCTGCCTCTCCTCAGGCTGTCAGCTTGTTGGAAGAGGTCATCACTCCCCGGAAGGATCTGCCTCCCTTACTCCTCAAACTGAATGAGAGGCCTGCGGAACACCTGGATTACCTGGGTGTTTCCTATGGCTTGACCCCTAGACTTCTCAAGTAAGTGCTTGCTGTTTCCTGGCATCACCCCTTGGCATTGAAGAAAAGGAGTTGTGTGGGCTTGTCTCCCTTTGTAGCCAGGGTCTGAGTTGGCCATCTGCTCACTCCTGCTTCTCCTGGCCCTTGTCCTCCTTTATCCCTCAGCTGCTTCTCAGAGTGTAAACATGATGACCTACTCTCCTTGTCTTTTTGCAGGTTCTGGAAACGAGCTGGATTTGTTCCTGTTTATTTGAGACAGACACCAGTGAGTAAGGTGTCGGGAAGAGGAAGGGTTAGGGTTGTGGCTATAGTTGGCCCAGGTCTGTGCTTGTGCATAGAGTCCTGATGCTTCTCTACTCGTGTGTCCTGTGTTGTTGCATAGGATTACTGTGACAGACACCTCACCATGACTCCCCCACTGCACCCAGCAGGCCTGGTGCATCTTGGCCTTTGTACTTTGTTATTAAATGGCAGCAGTCCATGTGGATTTGTTCATCAGATTGTAGAATCCTGTAGGCTGGGGCTCCCTGACTTTGAAAAAACAAATGACACTAGATTAGTGTCAAATACACAACTGTATTTGAGCAGTTGTGATTACAAGTTGGTTTCTTTTTGTTGTTGTTGTTGATTGTGCTGGGGTTTGAGCCCAGGACCTCACACTTGCTAGGCAGGTACTTTTAGCCCACAAGTTGGTTTCTGAAGGAAGGATATAAATATGTGGCTATGATGGAGCCAGAGTGGATTATTAAGGGAAGGTGAGAGAGTTAGTTACTTGTTAGTTCACTTAAAATATCTTTAGCACTTACAGAGAATCAGGCAGTGAATAAGATAAGCCATGAAGCTTATTTCTTATGGGTAGAAATAGAAAAAAAAAAAAAAAAGAACATATAGGCTGTCTTCAGAGAACGATGTGTGCTATGAATAAACCCAAATGCAGATTATAGTGTAAAGAAGGTTGAGCTTCTAAGACTTGACCTTCAAGCTGCAGCCTAAACCTGAAGTGCTCCAGAGTTGAAAGAAGTTCGAGCTGGAGATGGAGTTAGGAGGCCTTCAGCATACTCGTGCTAGAGAATATTCCATGAAGGCAAGGGGTTTTGGTCTGTTTCATTCATGCCTGTATCCCCAGCAGTTAGCATGGCAGCTCTATAAAGTATGTGCTTAGTGAGTAGATACATTTTGGAAGCTACTGAAAGTAGGAGAGGGTGAGAAGAATGTGGAGTATGACTCAGCACACAGACTGAGGAGGAGCTTCAATCTGTAGGAGAAAGTCAGTCTGTAGGTGTGGTGTCAGAAATTAAGGCATTTCAAGAAGGGAACTTGGTTACTATTCAGAGAATGAAAGGAGGACAATTGTCCACTTGATTTGCCACCATTGGTGATCTGACTTGGGGTGAAGCATTTCACCTGCCTGAAGATTGCAAATAGAATGCAAATGAACATTTCCAGAGTAAAAGGGAGCAGAGAAGCAAGATAGCTGGAGAGAGATGGGTGTGAAGGGAGAGTTTGTCAGGTTAGAGATCTTTAAAGTGTGTTTCTTTGCTGCAGAGATTATGCAAGTGGTGGTAGAGGGGGCAGGATGGACTGCGGGAGTGTGGGCCTTGAGACAAGGGAGCTTGGATTCCAGACTTGAGAGAAAGAGCAGCCAGCTCACCCCTCAATTAAAGGGGTGGCAGAAAGCATGGGCATGGAGGCTGCTGGTCAGCTCTTGAGAGGATGAGGATGTTTTCTGATGCTTCTCTTATTTCCAGTGAGAGGAGGCCAGCAAGTGAAGAGAGGAGTGTAGGAGGTGTGATTTTTTTTGAGAATATAAAGCCAGTATCAAGTGTGAGGTCAGATGTCCATTTGAGAGTTTAAAGTGAGACTGCTAGGCAAGTATGCCTGTAATTCCAGCACTAGGGAGGCAGAGGCAGGAGAATTGTGAATTCAAAGGCTAGGCTGAGCTACATAGTGAGACCATCTCAAAAACAAAACAAATCAGCCACCACCAAGAGCTGGGGATGTAGCTTAGTGGTAGAGTGCTTGCCTAGTACCTGTTGAGTGGATCATGTGGAGTTTAAGCTCTCATGACCCTGAGTTCAGAATCTACCTGAAAGGAACATGTAACTCCTTTCTGTGCGTCCAGAACAAAAGTCAGACCTGAAGATCTGTTGTACCTGCTCCATTTTCATTGCACCTTTTAGAAAGTTGCCGCAGAGTGAGCTTTGGAAGCCCATGTGTATGGCCTGAGGGGTATGGAATGTGAAGGTGGGTGTCCTGCAGAAGGATGCCTCTCCTGTGAGGAAGCAGAAAGGGCCTGGGGAACTATCGATGGCTTGTTCAGAAAAGAGTGTGCTTGGTGCCAAGTAGGAATATGTGTTCCCTAGAATGACCTCACTGGAGAACATTCATGCATCATGCTGAAGACACTGACTGAGGAGGATGAAGCTGAGCGGGGAGCTTGGCTCCCAGCCTTTTGGAAAGGTGAGTACAGGTGGAGTGGCGAGGGAACAGTGAGGTGACCTGGTGAGGGTGCCTCCAGACTGCTAACTCCACCTGGTTGTGCCCCACAGATTTCCGAAGGCGGTTCTTGGCCTTGCTGTCCTACCAGTTCAGTACCTTCTCTCCTGCCCTGGCTCTGAACATCATTCAGAACAAGAATGTGGGAAAGCCAGCCCTTCCAGGTGATCTGCTCGCAGGGAACTGAGGCCTGGGTCTTGACCTTAGTGTTGTGTGCCAACTCAGGATTGTGTTGGATTGGTGACCAGGCTCTTATAGATAACTCTTATGTGTTAGGCTGCTAGCCCATGAGGGTACCAGGCTGCCCTGACATACCTGGTTTTGTCATGTGTGTAGACCTAGATCGGGAGCAGCTGGAAGCGCTCTTCCTCCCCTATGACCTGAAGCGACTGGAGATGTATTCCCGGAACATGGTTGACTATCACCTCATCATGGATTTGATTCCGGCCATCTCCCGTTTGTATTTCCTGAACCAGCTGGGGGACCTGGCCTTGTCTGCTGCCCAGTCAGTAGGTCACCTGGTACTCAGTTGGGGGAGGAAAAGGAAGGAATGTGGAGCTATTTATGTGCTGGGCCTTTGGGCACTTTGACATAGTCTTGTGCCTTTAGTTCCTGGAAGATCTTATAGGTGGGCAGCTGTCTCATCCTGCAGCTTTGAGGTCCAGTGATGAGCCCAGCTATATATGTAAGTGGGCAGCTACACTTTGAGCCTATATTTTTTTCCTCCCTGCCTTGATATTTAGCTCTTCCAGAAGCCCAGGACATCCCAGACTTATAATTGTGAGGCAGGTATTTGTCAGGATAATAAAGTTAGATTAGGGGGTCTCAGGAAGAAGAAGTGTTTCTTGGTGTCTTCAGTAACAGGATGAAAGAGATAATGCTAAAATAAACAGTGATGTCTATAATTTCTGCCAGCTAGCTTTGCTCAAAAGAGGGTAGCTTTGGTACTCAGACATTTTAACAGGCAAGGGGCTGTCATAGTGGCCACTCCAGCTGATTTTCTGTCCTCCAGGCTCTTCTCTTGGGGATTGGCCTACAGCATAAGTCTGTGGACCAGCTGGAAAAGGAGATTGAGCTGCCCTCAGGCCAGTTGATGGGACTTTTCAACCGAATTATCCGTAAAGTTGTGAAGGTAACCTCTCTGAGAGCAGGATTCTGGTCTCTTGCAATAATACCACACACTCACCCATGGCTGAACAGGGAGTAACATTTGACTGTATTTGCTGCACACACACACACACACATATGCGTGCACACACACACAGAGAAATTGGAGGTGTCAGCTGTACCTGTAAAGTGCTGAATTCTTCCCACGGTCTACTGCTGGTAATTTGATACTAATCCAGTCTGTGAGATCTGGGTTCCTAAACTCTGGAGCATGGTTTTGTGTCTTGGAGGCATACACCGTTTAGACAGTAAGTGCCTTAGTAACAAGTGACTGAGTCCCTGCTGCTTCTTCACTTTCTGCTTTTCCACATTGTCTTTTGTAGCTGTTTACTGATGTGCAGGAAAAGGCCATTGAGGAGCAGATGGTAGCAGTAAAGGATGTCATCATGGAGCCCACAATGAAGACCCTGAGTGATGACCTGGTATGTCCCTGCTGAAGGTCCCCATGTTTCCCTTAGTTGTGTTGGCATTTGAATGCAGCATATGTCTTCCCCTGTCCCCTTTAGAAGATCCTCTGCATTAACCAAACTAAATGGTGTTCTCTAGGTCCAAGTGAGTTGGATTTGCTCTGTGTGTCAGTACACATAGGGCTAGAGTCATGCCTTCCCTGAGTTTGTGAGTGTGGGAATCCAGCTTCTACTGGTGTAAATGTTTTATTTGTCCTTTAAGGTACTTTTTAAAATGTATACTTAATACATATGCGTGCTTTAAAATCATAAGTGCTGTCTGTAATAGTTTTGAGGGTAAGCTGAGAGAAGGAACTGTTTCCTTGTCATAGTGACGTTCTGCATCCTTTCACCTTCTCCTGTGCTTTGTTCATTCCTGGCCTCTGACCTGCTGTCTTTGGGTCCTTGACCACAGGATGAAGCAGCAAAAGAATTCCAGGAGAAACACCAGAAAGAAGTGGGGAAGCTCAAGAACATGGACCTTTCTCAGTAAGACCCCTTCTGTTCGCAGGACACGAAGGCTCTGCCTTGGCCTCTGTGGCCCTCAGAGTCTGCTACAGGTTTCTTGTAACCCACATTCCAGGTGCCCTGGAAGGTGTATTTCAGAGGCACTAAAAGCTGAAAATCTCCTCACTGACTACTAGTGAAATTTCAGAACATTTGGTTTCCCCAGATTCCCTTTGCAATTTTGACTTTCCAGTTGTATACCCTAGATCCCTTAGGTTCCCACCTCAGGGGTCCCTCCAGGAACAGGGATGCTGAGTGGATGAGCATTCACTTTTACTGGTCACTTCTCTGTATTTGACTTTTTAAAGAGTTTTTTTTTTTGGTGGGACTGGGATTTGAATTCAGGACTTAGTGCTTGTAAAGTAGGTACTCTGCCACTTAAGCCACACCTCCAGTCCAAAATAGACCAGTCCATTTTGCTTTGGCTATTTTGGAGATGGAGTCTAGGGAACTATTTGCCTGGTGGCCTTGAACTGTGATCCCCTACATCTCAGCCTCCCAAGTAGGTAGGATTATAGGCATGAGCCATTGGCCTCTGTATTTGACTTTTACACATGAATTTGTATTATCTGAAGAAAGGATTCTACTGTCTAAAACACCAAACTCCCCACTCAAGAGCCCTTTGTGTGTTCCTGTTTCAGTTTCAACTCTGTTGTTTCCTTTCCCCCTGTGCAGAAGGTTGATGGGTTTGGCAGTCCTGGCACATCGGGATTCTAACTTAGAGCCTCCGTGACCTGTTGTCTGTGACCAGATTAGTGACAGTGGTTGTTGAACAAACAAGGTGGAGGTGACCAGGAGTCCAGGGCAGAGCAGCAAGCTGTGGCTTCTGCTTCAGCTTTGCAGTATCAAAACCTTGGTGTTCAGGACTGCTAGATCCAAAAGAGGTGGGCAGAGCAGGAAGCAGGAGGCTTGTGAGCAGATGTCTGGAGGGTGGAGTGAGGAGGACAATTCCAGGGAGAGTGCTAGGAGGCATCTTTGGTGGCAGTAACTGAAAGGTGGAATGTCAGGCAGGCTGCCCTCTGAGGAGGGCTGTCCTTACACTGGCCCTTGCTGTCCACTTAGTCGCCCTGCTCCTGAGACACTTCTGTCCAGCAGGGCTACATCTTGGCCTGGCTGCATGACTCTCCCCTTCTCTCTGCTCTGCAAATGCTAATGCAGCTTGTCCTGGCTTATGTGGCAAGAAACATCTGATGAGTGTTGTCACATTGAATTTTCTTTCAAATAGTCCTTTCCTCTCAAGCAGGCTTTGATATTTCCACTGTTTCTAGATACATAATCCGTGGGGATGATGAAGAGTGGAATGAAGTATTGAACAAAGCTGGGCAGAATGCCTCAATTGTCAGCCTGAAAAGGTAAGGCTCTGAAGTGCGACACACAGCCGATGGCGCTCTGGCTTCTCTGCTCTGTGGCTTTCCCTTGGAATGGAAGGTAGGAGCAAGAACTGAGAAATGTCGTGGCTTACTCTTTGAATCCCCTTGTACCACCTTGGTAATGCATCTACAGACAGACATCTCTAGGCCTGGCTCTCTTCCCTCTTAGTACTCACCAGCAGGCCAGGGCTGGGCCTGTTAGGGATGGCCCGAGAAAAGAGTCCCACACTCTCTCTACTTCAGCACAATGTTGACCTCAGAACAGCAGCTCAAGGGACTGTGTTAATACCATTGTTGCTTTAAAAGTGAGGTAAGCACAGTTTGAAGGAGTTAAGTAATCTCCCAGGAAGCACACAGTCAGTGAAAGAGCCAGGGTTGGGACTAGGTGTGTCCTCTACAAAGCTACCACAATGTCCTTCCTCTGAGCCAGCAATTCGCAAAATTTGGGGTCTTAGAGTTCTTTTATATCTTAAAAAGACTGAGACCCTTTGTTTATGTGGGTCATATCTATTCCTATTTCATATACTAAGAATTAAAAACTGAGAAACTAAAAAAACATTCATTTGAAATGAACAATGGACTTACTGTAAGTTTGGGGTTGTTTTGTTTTGGGGTTTTGTGGTGCTGGGGATCAAAGCCAGGCCTTCTTGAATGATAGGTGAGCCCTTTACTACTGAGTTAAATCCTAAGTGGCATTGTTTTATGTTTATATTTTTGCAAATCTCATTAATAGAAAGCAGCTGCATTCTCATGTCTGCCTCTGCATTCACTGTAGTGCTGTAGCATCTTATGCCCTCTGGGAAATAAACGTTTATGAGAGAAGGAAAAGGAAGAAGGCAAATTGCATATTAGTATCAGTATTAAAGTAGTTTTGATCTCTTGAACCACCCAGGAGTCCCTAAACTGCATTTGAAAACCTTCACTACAAGCTTCCAATCTGCAAAGGGACACATTTGTAGACAGCATGGTTGCTTGTCCTGGAACTTTCATCATCATTCCTTTAGGAACAGCATGAGGCCTCCTCTGCCATGGGCATCTGCAGATGAGGCTTGCACAGCAGATGTGGCCTTGGTAGAGAGGGCATTCTTGGCATTACCATAGTTACTGATCGGTCCCCTGAAAAATAGATTTTGAAAGCATTTGGAGAGGAAACCTTGTGATTCTTGGAACCATGGATCCCAGAAGTCAGGTGTTATCTTCTGTTGTCTCCATAAAGGTTCTTGAAGGTTCCAGTGTTGATAGCAGACACATTTCTCAGCTGTTGTCAGGTGTGGCACAAAGGCCCACTGTCAGTGTCTTATTTGTCTGCAGTGCTGGGGATCAAACCCAGCAACTGGTGTGTGCTAGGCCAACGCTCTTCTGCTAAGCTGCATCCTCAGCCCTAGTGCCTCCTCTTTTTGATTTGGGAAGTGTGATAAATGGCACAGAGCACCCCCATGCTTCAACCTTGAGTGTGGCTTTGACTACCACAAAAGGCCAAGAAATGGGCCTGCTGCGGAGAGGCTGGTTCTGTGCCCTGCAGGGCATGGCCTCCTCTTCTGCTGTTCCTTTGTCTGTTTCTGCTTGTGTGGAGTGAACCCAACATGCATGGTGCTTCAGGTGCATGATGGCTCAGAGTAAAGGGAATGTTTGCATGTTTTAGATAAAAACACTTGTCAGTCTGTCATTAAAGATTCTTTGAGGCCTTACTTGTAATGTCAGTGGTTTCTGGGAATGTTTGCTTTTGGAGGGAATGTTTGTTCTCAGGCCAAAGTGCTGTGGAGAGGGTCTTTCGTCTCTAAAGGTTTCTTACTAGAAGGTGGTGCCATCCTGTCACAGAGCTTCCAGTGGACATGTCAAGGTGGAACTTGAGTTGCTATTCCTTTGGGTTTTTTCTATTTGTTTAGGACAATGGCAGCATATCGTAAAGGATGGCTGGCTTTCCTTGCAGTCTTGTGCTTTGTGTCTTCGGGTCACTGGGATAGCTTGTCTATTTACTGGGGTAACCAGTGGTGAGAGTGGTGGGAGGGAATCTCCCTTATGGCACTTAGCTGTTTCTAGGCCTCAGGAGGGGAGATCACATAGCATTAGAGAGAGCCTGGATTTCAGGTGTTAATATGTAGATTTGTTCCTCTACACACTTAGCACTTGGTGGCCTGTTCCCAACCTCCACCACAATGCTTGGAGTCTTTATAGATTTGCAGGCAACATGTCTGACTGGGTGTTCTTGCCTCAAGGTTTAGGTAGTGAGGACCCTTTTTCAGACAAAGCAGAGCAACCTGAGGTGTTTCAGATTTGTGCTGCTTCATTCTTTTATCCCTAGTGTGTGTGTGTGTGTGTTTTGGTGGTGCTGGGGTTTGAACTCGGGGCATTTCATGCTTGTGAGGGAGATGCTCTATCACTTGAACCACACCTCCATCTTTTTTTTTTTTAACACTCCAGTGACAAGAAAAGGAAGTTGGAAGTCAAACAAGACACCATACATAACAAGAAGTTGAAGAAAAACAGAGATATGAAGAACAAAAAAGACATGAAACTGAAGCGGAAGAAATAGTGAAGAAAACCTGAGTGTCAGTGGCCAAGTTGTGAGGAGATACACCTGACTTCTTCAACCATCTCTGGCTGGTTTGGGCAACAGCCTGGACAGTTATAAACAACAAGGCGCTCAGCAAACTCTGATGCCAACCAGTAATTCAGTGGATAGGACTGACTATGTCTGTCTGTGGGCCCACCCTGGCCTAAGGCAAAGTCACTCCCCAGTGGGTCTGCTTAGGACTTGATGGTTGGTCAGTGCTCTGGCACAGGCGGGGTGGTGTCCCCCTACCCTCCTTTCCCATAAATTCCTATTGCACGTTGGACCAGCTTTTCAGGCTCATTCCCACACATGCCGTGCTGATTCTCATCACTTCCCAGGTCCTTTAGTACACAATCTCTGGTAATGCTGATTACCAGATCTCAGGTTGATGATGGACTGCTGGGTCTCATCACAGTCTTGTCCCAACACCCTGAGGCCTGGAGCAGCAGGACCTGTCATGCACCCAGTGTCATGGCAGGCCACTGTTGCATGCTGGCCCCAGGATTTGCTGATGCCACCTTCTTTTCCACTCCTGCCTGTGGTGAGCCTGTAGTTCTGAGTGCCCCAGAAAAGCCTGAGCCCTTATTTAAGTGGGATATGACATGTTAGGTCATTTGGGAGAAAATGTTGGGAAAAGCCCTTTTGCTAGCAGAGGTGAGGGGAGGGACAGGGAATATTTTCAGTAAATAACACCTTAGAAAGACCATTTGCTTGTGGGTGCTTATGAAGTCCACACCTGTGAAAGTTGCATGTTGCCCTGTTTCTCCTGTTGAATCTTGGCTGACAGGGCCAGAGGTGTGCAGTGTGGATGGAACTTCCTAACCCAGGTGCCTGTGAGAGAACTGGCAGGTACTAAATGGTGCTGTGTCACTGGAGGGGTGTGGTGTAGCTGCCAGGTCCATGTCATTTGGGGACAGAAAATGGCGTGGTGCGTTTATTTAATGGTGTCCATGCCGTAAGTCCACATAGAGCCTTTGTCTACTACTCATGCGTAACCTGGGTTGGTAGAAGTCTAATAGAAGGACAAGGGAGTAGAGAAGGCTCTGGACAAAAAGGTTTTAAACACACCCCTCCTGGAACTCACCCCAGTGGGCAAAGCACAGGTTCTGTACCTGTCCCTAGGACTGCTGCACCTTGTCCCCAGGATGGTCGGGACCTAGGCAACAAGGCCTTTGACTCCCAGAGCTGCTGCTTCCTCCCTACACCCTCCATTGGGTCTGCAGGAATTTTACTGAGAGGAAAGAGGAGAATAATGCTTTGGTTATTTTCTCACCTGAGAGTGAGAAAGGCCTTTCAGAGAGGATTATCTTAGGAGAGTGTCCAAAAAGCAGAATACGAATCCTGTATGGTCAGAGCTAGATAATTTGTTGAAAGTTACCCAAGCATATCCTCCTCAGTCATCGTCCCCAGCCCCAAAGCTTGTCCACTGGCTGTGGGTACAAGGTAAGAGGGGCTCTGAGGCCAGACTGTGAGTGCTTGAATTCTGGCTCTGCCCTGGCCCTCACTGACCATGGTCACTGTTGTGGTTTGAACATCCTCCCAGAAACTCATATTGAAAGTTAATCATCATTGTGAGGTATGAAAAGGTGGAACCTGTAAGAGGTGATTTGGTCATGTGGGCTCTGCCTTTCTGACTGGGTTAATCTTATGGATAAATGAGTTATCTCAAGAGGGGGTCTGTTATAAAAGCCACTTTGTCCATTGGATGGGTTCCCTTGCCATAATACCCTGAGCTGCTACTCTGCTGCTTGCAGAGTCATCACTAGCAAGAAGGTGCTCATTGTTTGCAGGACCTTCACCTTGGACTTCTTAGCCTCTAGAATGGTAAGAAATTTATTTTCTTTAAAACTACCCATGCTTAGTAGTTTATTGGTAGTTTATTTTGTTATATCAAAGACAGGCATGTGACTTCACCCTGTCTGTATTCCAGTTCCACACTTGTCACAGGTGAGTGGTGGGGAGCAGTGGGTAGAACAGAATAGGAAGCGCTCAGGGCAGTGTCTGAGATGCTACTGGTCTCTGAGTTCTGGGCACTCTGCAGGTGAGGAGACCTGCTCAGTTCCATGCCAGCTCTAAGACGACTGAATGAGGACTGGCCAGTCCTCAAACCATCCTGAGCTAAAGTCCCCCATGAACAGCAGAGCATGTGATTTGCAGTCTTGGACAAGGTGCATACAAAGAGGAAGTGAATGTCAGCTGCTATATGGAGTCCTGGCCTTTTTCTTTCAAAGCATGTGTTCATACACAAGTCTTTGCATTTTGTGTTGCAATCTTGGGTCTCCTTCAAACCTGAAAGGGCATGCCTCCCCCAGACCTCACCATCTGGCCCCCAGACAGTGACATCTGTAAAGCTCAACTGTCTCAGAAGATGAATTCAGATGGGCCAGCTCTGTATGCTGTCACCAGGATAGGGAAGGGGCTAAAGAGGCCTGAACAAAGGAGCTCCTCTGTGGTCTCCCACTCCAGGACAGGAGGGGCTGGTACCAGCCTGCTTTAGTGCTTCCACTGCTCATCTGCTCCTGGCCATCCCAGAGGACTGAGTGACCAAGAGACACAAAGGGGGTTGCTGAGATAGGAGGAAAAGGGACAGAAATAGTTCTGTCACCTTGGAAAAATGTAGGCTCATTTTCTGGGGCTATTACAACATGACACCAGTGTGTGGGCCTGAAGGAGGGGGGTGGGGCTGGAAGGCCCTTGGGCTCCAATAGATAATTTCAGACTAGGGAGAAAAGGACACCCTTGATTCTGTGCACAATTTGGCTAGACATCATAGGGATTCTGTAGAGAGGGTTAGGGAAGGCCTCTTGCTTCCTGGCAGTAGCTTCTTGGCGGTGCATTGCTGGTTTTGTTGAGGGGAAAGTTGTGACCACCCTATGTGTGGCATGGGGAACTTCCGGTGGGGAGGGTAATGGGCAGTGAAGAAAGCGAAGCACCAGAAGGAGGAAGGGTGTTACTGTTCACCTACGTGGCCCAGGGTTGGGCTCTGGAACCTTCTATGTCAGGAGAACAGGGTCTCCTTTGGAGACAAGGCTCAGGCACTTGGCTGTGTAAATATCTTGTTGCTGCCCACATTGCAGAATGAGCTTCTGTGTGCATAGCCAGTGCTTTCAGCCTCAGTTACCCAAGGACTGTGAGACATCAGCTTGGCTCTCCCCGAGTCCGTCTGGCTGCTTACAGTAGCCTGAAGCCTGCAGCTGAGTAGAAATTGCCCCCCACAATCCCAGATAATGTTACTGAATAAGAAGGTCCAGCTGCCAGAGTTAAGTGATCAAATACCCCATTGCCGTTAGAATCTTAGCTCCTGGGAAGAATGATTTTTTTCTAATTATTTTAAATATTTGTTCAAGAGTATGTTCCTGGGCTAGAGGTGTGTATGGTACAAACAGTAGAGCACTTGCCTAACAAGCATGAAGTCCTGAGTTCAGACTCCAGTTATCCCCCCACCCCTAAAGAATGTTCCTGATGTACACAGGCCAGAGGGGGCTGTCCCTTTCTTTAATTTCTCTGCCTACTGGGGAGATCCATACTGGATCCCTTCAAGGGATCCAGACCCCTGAAGGGGCTCAAGCAATGAGGAGGGACCACCTCTGCAACCTTCATAGTATCTGCCATATAAGGTGGTGCTGAGCAGCTCATCTCCTCCCTGCAGCCCCCAGAGGGCGCTGTGGGCCACACACCGTAGGGCTCTCTCACTCTGCAAGGTCCCTGGGTCCACTCTGCTTGGTCTCCACCAGGGCCTTTCCCAGGACTGGCTCCTAGTGACCTTTGTCATCCCCCAAGTTTGTGTTCAGGCAGCGTGTTCCTGAATCACAGCCACTTTGGGTTAGGTTCCCAGTGACCTTAAGAATTGTTCTTTGTGCCCAGACTTCGCACTTGACTCAGCATAACCCGTTATCTGTTTCAGGGTCCCCTTGGTGGTTCAGTCAGCCAGGGCTCAGCAAGCTGCAGGCCCAAAGGCAGGTGCCTCTGTCTCAATCAGGCCAGGGCTGGGGAGAGAGGCCCCTCCCTGCCAGTCCTCAATGTGTGAGGTTGGCATGAGAATGCAAAATATGTAAGCAGCTCCCCATCCCATCCTTCCAGGGAGGCCTGGGATCAAAGGTTAGGAAAGCCCTAGACACTGTCCTCTTTCCCCAGTCTGGCTTCTGTCCAGTCGAGTGGCACATACATAATAAATAATGATGTATCTCATTTCACAGGTGAGGAAAACAGCCCAGTGAGGGATAGCGCCAGGTTGAGGTCCCAGGGCAGAGGTGAGTGTGGCATGGCACAGTACGCTCTGGTAGGGGGTTTTTTCCTACTGAGTGGCATGGAATCGGCTCTGGGTTTCCTTTCTGGTCCTGTGGGGCACCTCCCCAGCTCTGAACTCCAAGTAACCTTCTACCAGAAGTAGTGAGGCCAACATCATTGTTAATGTATTTTTATTGTTAATAAAACCATAGTACATTTACATGAAGTGACAACATTAATGTACAGTTACAGTATCATACAATATTACAGCAATAAAATAACACCTATTCTTTGTACATCCAGCTCAAGAAGCTAGTTGAAAATATTTTCCAGAATTGCAAGCCCCTGGGGGTTTTTCAAGGTGACTTAAGTGACACCTCCTAAAATTCCTAGGGCTTTTGGTGAATAAATAGTTTCTAAGGTGCAGCCACACTACACTCAGAGCAAGCTGTCCCAGTGTCTGGTCCGTCAACAGGTCAGGTGTGGGGAGCCAAGACCGTGAGGGCAGGCAAGGGAGGGGACATGGTGAGGGGCTTTTCCCAGCCCCTCCCTCCCACCAGTGCCATGTTCTTTATGCCTAAGGCTGCAGTTCCCAGTGAGAAGTGTGCCCTGCTCTCCAGTCCTGAGTTAAAGGAAACTTTCACTTGAGAGGCTCCACCAGGGGAACGTGTAGGCACTGCTGCCCGAGTCCACAGAGGCAGCCTAGAGCCAGGCCTGAGGTTCCACCCCTTTATTTTGGCCCCTCGCTGCAGCAGCAAGAGCTTGAAGCCACTGTGCTCTACACTGTACCCCTTTTACACCCTGGGCTCAGAATCCTTGAGCTGGGACTAAAGTTAGCAATCCTGAAGGGACTGTAGGCCCAGCCTCTATAATAGTGGCCCATGCCAGGCCTTTTAAAGGCACAGCCTGGAGGACAGGGCCAGGATCTGTGACATATAAGAGAACAAAGGCAAGCTTTTGCTCTCAGTGGCCTGGGGCAGAGAGGATACATTCTGTGTGTTCCTAGGGATGCCCATAGTCCCAAGTGCCCCAGCTGGGGTGCAGAGAGCTTAGAGGCGAGGTCGTTAAGGACCTGCTGCTGAGCCTCAGGGATGGTCCTCAAGGTGCAAACTGTGAGGATGCAGAAAAGGGCTACCTTTAGGTGCACGCCACCCTCCTTGCCGGTCACTTGTTAGGCAGACAGCTAGACGCAGGGCACATCTGCCTATCCAAGGGTAGATTACCTCCAGAAAAGGTGGTGGGGAAATAGCCCATGAGCCAGGCTCCAAGAGGGCCTGCAGCCTGTCCCACAACCTGCCTCACACCCGAGAGGTCACGTAGACAGAGTGCACACGCTCGGCCAGGGTGCTCTGCAGATCCTGCAGTGGGTCTAGACCTTGCACTTTGCTGCTGCGGCCATAGATGAGCTGCCGGAAGGCGTCCTGTTCCAGGAGGGCCTTCATGTGCTTGAGGAAGAAGCCCTCACAGAAGAGGGCCAGTTCGGGGGCGTTGTGGATCTGCAAGCAGGAAGAGGAGTAAGGCCCATGGCCTTCACACAGTCCCACCTGAAACCGCCCTCCGCCCACAGCAAGATCCAGCTTAACCCTTACGCTGGCCCCACAGGACGAGTTCCCTGTCTGCCCCTTGAGACTACATCTGTGGCCCTCTCTTGTGAATGGAACCCATCTGAGCTCAGGTCCCAACTGTGCCACATTACTGAAGACTTAGCCACGGCCCCCATCGTTTTCATTGCCTATGTCACATTGGGGACACTGTGTTGCATGGCAGTCATTCCTACTCAATTGGAAGCTCCCTTCCTAAGGGCAGGATTCCAGCGTCCAGCACAAGGCCCTGCATAGGAGTGTTCATGGGGCATCTGCTCCATGTCAATGTTCATTCGGCAAATACCAGTGGCCACCCTGGGTATTAGTTAGTTGCTGAGGTCATGAACTCTATAAGGCTCTTTTAGGGCTAATGTTCTGGGATGGGGGAGACAAAATCCAAGTGACTGACCAAATAAACCAGGTAATTGCACACTGCTCAAGGCTGTAAAGGAGATAAAAGCCAATGATGCATCAGAGTGACAGGGTGGCTATTGGAGGCATGGGGCCGTGGGCTGATGAAGACAAAGGACTGGTGTTGGGAAGTGCTTTATAGGAAGAGGGAAGGGTTGTCACAGGAGTCCTGGGCAGGGACACACTGGAAAGGGCGGGCTGGAATGGTTTGGTCGAGTGAGGGGAGGCATGGGCAGGGTCCTGGAGGTCTTGTACAAGGGCTGGCTTTGATTTGCAGGATGGCTTAAGTAAAGGAAGGGCATGGTCTTGGCATTTTTGAAAGAACCTGGCCCTGCACTGTTCAAGACAGATGAGGATAGAAGGACAGTGGAGATGGAAGCAGAGACCACCGATGTGTTTCAGAGGTGTATAGCCTAGGTATGGGATATTTTTTTAGATATCAAGTTTGCCTTCTGGTTTTGAGTCTGAGCTGATAACCATGTCATTTACTGAGCAGGGGAAGACGGGCAGGGCTGGCAGGGAAGAAAATCAAGTGTGTACCTGTGGACTTCAGGTGACTCAGGCTCAGCTACTTGCCCAGTTCTACAGCACACAGGTGTGGTAGAGGAGAAAATGAGCCACGTGGACTGGGAGCATGCTCACCTCCACGCTGCTGCAGGCTACAGTGGGAGTTGCTAACCCTCCCTCGGCCTTCTACCACCCTCCACGAGGTCCAGCCGCCTGCATTTCCTCTCCTATCCACAGTGCAGTGAAGTGGCTGGATGGCACTGCCCTCACCTTGGCGTATTTGTAGGTGTTCACAGCACTCTCCACGCTGAGCGTCTGGGAGCACAGGATCTCACAGTGCCTCTGCAGGGCATCCAGTTGGAACAGGCTGGCAGCTGAGAGCAGCTAGAAAGGAGGCAGAGGGTCTTGGGAATTGGGGTCAGGCCCGTGACCCAGGCATTAAGGCAGAGAAAGCTTCTGAATATATGCCCTGTTTGCTCCCCAACCTCAGGCCCAGCCCACCTGCTGGTCTGGTCTCAGGGGAAGAGATGACAGCCTTGATTTATTTCTACTGTAGGCCATCTCCGTATTAGTTGGGACAATGTGGAAGGCACAGATGGGGTTTCTGACCTCAAAGGGCCTTGACCTGTAAGTGACATGGTTCATCTACCTGCGCTGCTGAGCCAGGCGTCCTGGCATGATGACCAGGTGAGTGGGAGGCCCACCACCACTTCATCCCTCCTGCGCTGGACCATCCCCACCAGGTTGTCTGTCTCTATCATGAGGGTGTGGCCCAGGAAGCTGGTGTCCAAAATTCCTGGTCTCTTAGAACTGGACTTGTGGTGGGATGAGAGAAAAGGCCCTCGGAACCATGAGGTCTTCAAAAGGGCTACCATCCTCCCCTCTCCCTTTCAAATGCTGTTTCTGAGAATAGGGCTGAGACATGCAGAGATCTAGAGCTATCGAGCCAGGGACACAGAGTGAGTGGGAGATACCGGGCAGCTGGGGCCCCCTGTGCCTCACCTCCAGAATGTCAGCCGTGGGGATTTCCATGGATTCTGTTCCTCCATAGTACAGATACTGCATCATCATCTGTGGCGGGAAGAGGCCCTGTGTGAGTGCCTTAAAGACCCAGGGCCCAGGTCCACTCCTGGCCCGAGAGTGCCCTCCCACTAACTGTTTGCCTCTGCTCTTCTCTGCTCAGGCTGAGACTCTCAGACACTGTTTTCCCCAGAATGAGGTTTCTAGAAGCCAACTCCAAGACCCCCCTTGTCTCTGTGACCAGCTCTGGTCCACAGTGGTTTCCCTTCAATCCCCATGACAACCCCCTGAGCCCAGGAAGAAGGATGACTAGGCTCAGATTTCTTGAGCCTCAACTCCCACAGCAGGGCCCTCCCACCCCACCAGGCAATGAGCTGTGCATTGCTCATTTTATCTAAAGTCCACATATGGCCAGGTATGGCATAAACCAGGGGCAGGAGGATTGTGAGTTTCAGGCCAGCCTGGGCTATACAGGGAAACCCTGCCTCAAAAACAAAACAACTACATTTGGATCTGGGAGGTAGCTGAGGCTCTGATAGTTGAATTTCTAACCAGCTATCCTCAGGAGATCTGGCTCCCTGCCTGATCGCCCTGGAAAGAAATGGCAGCGCTCACTTTGCTGCCTGGCTGAGACCTGCCTGGGACTCTCAGGAACTGGGAGGAAGGTGTTCCTGGGATAGCAAAGGAGATGGCCCAGGAAGATGGAGTTATATTTAGTTCTTCTGAGGTCTGAGTTGTAAACTCTAACATCACGCTGGAGTCTGGTGAAGTTCCCAGTTGGAAAAAGAAAAAAATAAGGCTGCCTGAAGAAACAGCCCCAGCAAGGCACTGGCAGGGCTATAAATAAACACAGCCGCAGCCACACAGGTGGGCCAGCCTTCAGGCTGGAGAGGCACCAGAGGGTCTATGAGAAAGCCCAACCACTGGTCCTGGCCAGGTACCGGGCGCCATCAGCCTCTCCTCACCAGAAAGCAAGGTCCCTATGACTTCTCAGCCCCTGCTGAAGCCTACACTGCATCTTACTGCATTTCAATGTCTGTCCATCCTGCTGGATGCTGTGTACTTCAGGCAGACCCAGTTCCTTGTATTTCTGGGCCTTGTGCTGAGTGAGCCAGCAGGACAGAGGCCCAGACCCTAGACACCCTTCACTCAGGGTTGGGACTGGCAGGTGGGTCAGCTCTTCCAGAATCTTTTACTAAGGAATGGCCTCAGCCCCTTGGCAAGGGCCTGAAATCCAGGCTCCCTTCATGGCTCCGAAGGGCCTCCTGCTGCATTTTGGGAGCTGGACTTGGCAAGGGCTGGCCAGCTGTGGTATGTGGGTCTCCCTGAGGCCGCTTGACTGCCTGAGTCCACAGAATGAGAAGTGCTCACTTGGAGCTTTGCAAAGGGAGCAGAAGTGGGTTAATTTTGCACAGCCTGGGCAGATACGGGTCACCTCTCTCCCAAGGCAGGCAGCCTGCAGGGCTGGATGAGCAGCCCGAAGAGCTGCTGGAGGAAAGGCCACATGCTTTCCTGCTGCCCTGAGAGAGCTACTAGGAAACAGACTGCAGGACCAGGACTGGCGCACAAACCATGTTGGAATGCCAGGTCTTCTGGACTGTCCTTCAAAGGTCTGGGTTTAGTTAACAGTGACCTGGGCAAGTCTCCAGACCTGCACCAGGCCTACAATAGCCACTGGCCACATTGGCTTCTGAGCCTTTTAAATGTTATTGGTCTGGATTAAGATGTGCTGTGTCAAATACACACGAGATTTTGAAAACTTGGTATATCTCAATTTCTTCTATTGATTACAAGTTAAAAGCATAATATTTGGGCTAAATATATTATTCAAATTGATTTTGCCTATTTTTATGCAACTTAAGAAATTTTGAATTATAGTATGTAACACATCAGTCAGTACTGCATAGGCCTCCTTGAACCTGTTTCCTCTTCAGAAAACAAAGACAGTGATGACCTCCCTCCTCTTCTCTCAGTGCTGTGAGAGCCAGTGAGATATTCGGGGGCTGCTGTGGAACTTTGCAGGCATTGTTGGGAAGCTCGGAAACCAAGGGTGGATGGATATCCAAAGTCCCAACCGGGGTGAAACACACAGACAACAGCAGAGCTCTGTACTCAGAGACCCTGTGGGCCTGGTCTAAATAACTGGCCAGAACTCCAGGTGAGATGCCCAGGGCAAGGGCAGGGACTAACCTCTCCACAGTCCATGTGTGCCTTGACGTTAGACCATTGTCCCCATTTACCCTCCCACCAACCCCAAAATGTCACCAGGTGACTGCTCAGCCCGTCCTATCACTGGTGCCCTCCCAGCTTTGGTAGGCAGTTGAGCTCACACAGGTCTCTCTGCCTGCAGTGATCACTGCCCACATGTGTGCTCTCTCTCCCACCAACCCCTGCTGCGCTCAGAGACACACCTCCATATCCTATCATGGCTCTACCTCATGCTCCAACTCACCTGGACTTGATGCTTCTTGGCCCAACAAGTTTCCAAAGCCATCCCTCCCAGGGAGTTTGGATAAAGGGATGAGAAAGTGAAAAGAGGCACCACCACACTCAGGCCAGAACCTTGACCTCTCCCACTGTGTCCCACCTGTTCTCCATATCCCCTGGTCCAGTCCAGGTCACTGTCATAACTCAGTGGATCCCTCAGCAGCTCCTAACTGATCCCCCCAGGTGGCAACCATGCTAACTTCAGTCTCTTTCTCACCTCCCTAAATGCAAACAACCAGCCCTACATCCTGGGGTTGAGTCCCAGCTCTTTGACTTTCTAGCTGTGCTAACTTGAGTAAGCTACTCAGCTTCTCTGTGCATCTGACTCCTCATCTACCAAGAGGAGTGATAATAAACCTTCACCCCCTAGGACTGTGCTGTGAGGCTTAAATGAGGAGGGGAAGCACTCAGAACCGTGTCTAAGAAATGACAACCTCATCCTTGCACTGAGTGAAGCCTTTTGGAACGTCCTGGGTCCCTGGCTAAAGTCCAAGCCCTGCGTACTGTGGCTCCCTGGAGCAGCATCAGACTCATTTCTGGTAGTTCTGAACTGAACATGCCATGGGCTCAGGCTTCTGGGACTCTTGAGTGTGCAGTCCCTCCTCCTGGATCTCTTGCTAACTGGTCCTTGAGACTGCAGCCTGGCTGTCACTGCTCCAGGTCTGGGGGAGATGCCCCATTCCTGCACTGCTAGAGCCCCCCAACCCCCCGTGCTTCCCCAAACTGTCTCAAGGTTTCACAGTCCTGTCATACCTGATGACTGCTGTGCCCTCCATGCCCACAAGTGGCTGGATTCCAAATAAGTGACTGCAGGGAATATGAGGGAGATGGTGGTTCCCTTTATCCCATGTATTCCGTGAGGTGCTATGGAGTCTATGATCTCTCAGGTTAGTTCTCAACCCTCTCCTGGGCAGGGCATAGTCTCGCACCCATCTTCCTGCCGCCTCTGGGCCTCAGTCCTGTCCCAAAGGCTCAGTCCTGCAGTCCTGAGCTCCCCTCACCCTCTGCAGTTGCCGCTGTGTGGAAAGGCGCTCCCAATCAAGCTCCTGCAAACCCTCCTCCTTGCCCATCCTGACATTTCTATGGCACACCTTCTACTCCCTGAGCTTAGCCCACTATGGCCGGGACAGGCTCCTTGCAATTTTCCTGCCTGGTGTGTGGCTGAGGTTTGATGCTTGGAGAGAGGGTACCACCGGTACCAGCCTTTCCCAAAGGTACCAAGCATCTGTGAAGCCTCTGGGCATCTGTGAAGATGCAGGCTCTGAGGCAGGGGGGTGGAAGTTGGGACACAGCGTTCCCAGCAAGCAGGCAGGGCCCACACAACAGGTGTGTCCTTCACATCTGTCTGAGGCCCCTGGCCCAGTGATTAGACTCAGGACCCTGGGGCAAGCTCTGAAGCAACAGCCCCACAGTGGGGTGTCTTCCTTTGCCCAGGAAACAGAGTGGAAGACTAACTGATTTACAGCAGCCCCTAAGCCCAGGTAGGCAAGGTCAAGGATGGGCTGGGCAGAGGGGCTTCCCTCCGAATAGTGCAGCACTGACGCCCACACACCTGAAAAATGTGGTACTTCATGTCGCTGATCTCAATGGTTTTGCTGCTGTCCCCGTCTTGTTCTGATTTATTGGTCATTAGTGTCTTGAACCTGGAGCAAAGGAGGCAAGACAAGGCAGGGCTTGAACACGACTTTAACTCCATCCCTGTGCCATACCAGCACCATCCATCACCTGACCAGCTGGAGACACAACGCTTGGAAAATGACTACCGTGTTCCCAAAATAACTTTGGGCAAGTGACGTTTTACATCATCCTGGGCTGACAGTTGGGCCAAGTGCCATTCTGTCCCTACTGGCCTGTCGTCCCCCCAATTGATGGCTAGTCTCTTCATTCCAGCACATCTATGTGGTCTGATAATTATAAGCAGTAACTCAGCAGAAGGTGCTTCCCAGAGCTCCTGGGGCACTCTCGATGTCACTCCTTCTGTGCCCTCTGTCCAGCTGGGCCCCACGGGCAGGTGAGCACTCTGCAATGATGGGACAGAGGCTGCAGGATTCAGTCCCTGAGGTTGCTCTTCCCTGTGCCCCTGGGGCTGAGACTACTACCTGTGCTGCCTACCTGTTAGAAGCTGTCACCAGCAGGACTTTGTGTGCATAAAACAGCTTTCCCTCCACTAGGAAGGTCACATCTGACATCTCTTTGTTGTTCAGAAAGTGAGGATCTGTGGATAAGGAAAGACAGGAAAGTGGCCTAGGTGTCCACCTCCAGGGGTTTCTAAGCATGCTGAATGTGGGGGCACAAAGGCGAGGAGCAGAGAAACAGGCTATGGGCCTTGGCACTTGGGAATGGGAAAGGACAGTGTGAAGGGGAGAAAAAGAAGAGGGGCATAGGGGACAAGCCCGCACCTAGCCTGGCCGGCAGAGTCTTACGGAGCTCCGGGATGCTGGGGATGGGGCTGCTGCCATAGCAGTGGGTGAAGATGGTGGCCAGCTGCTGGATGACAGAGTCATTCTGTGGGGAGAGAGGCAAGAGGCCTGTCAGCTTGCTGCTGCAGCCTGTTTATAGCTGCAGATACAGCAGGTTAGTTTCCGAAGTCCAGGCGAGGATTAGAGCAGCGCTGTCTTTTGTTCCTGGTGGATGTGACTTGGTGAGAAAGAGTCTTGTTTTTTCATCAGTGAGTCCCCAAATGGCTGTTTTGGCAGGGCTCCAGCCCAGACAAACCCATGGCCTGTGCCCCCTGTAGCCAGGCAGTGCGAGTCTAGGCATGTGGGGCTGCCCAAGTGTGTCAGTCTATGTGTCTGCCCCAGGGTCAGGGCTGCTGGGCCACACTCACTTTGCTGGTCTTGAGGATGTCAAACATGAGTTGCAAGCCCTCAGTCACCAGCTCCTCGTTGTACTCCTCCTCCTTGATGGAGCTGAAGTCCCGCAGGAGGCTCTGCACCACTGAGTACCGCGACTGGGAGAACGAGGTCCGCAGAGACTCGATCCAGATGTGCAGTTTCCAGGGGACACCTGGGAGGGCAGGGGAGAAGAGCAGGTGTCAGTCACTGTGAAGCACACTCTTTTCTTGGTGGACTCTTTTCTGATGCCCCGTCTCGCCTGAGCCACCTGCCCTATGACTGCATGCTGCATGACCCTTAGGTGGCTCAAATGGTAGAGCGCCCACCTGGCAAGCACAAGGCCCTGAGTTCAAACCCCAGCACTGCCAAAAAAAAAAAAAAAAAGTGAAACCAAGACGAAAGCTTTCATTCACTGCTGGGCCTTCCTGGCAGGCACAGAGGTGTTAGATGAGGTAGAGGGTAGCTCTTACCACGTGCAGGGCATTCAAGCTCTAAAAATGGAAGCCCAGTCTGGGGGTTTCTTGCACCCTTGCTTGTTGCCCCCTAGAGTTATTTGCTAGAGGGCCCCCATTAATTCTTAAGGGGTGGCCAGGTAGACTAGGGTACCCAGAAACTATTCGGGGTACCCAAAGACATGTGGCCCCCATCCTCTGCAGAAGCAGAGGAGCTCCAGCACCCAGGTTACGGCTGTGTCAGTGCACATCCAAGGCATGTGATGAGTTAACCAGCTCCCTGGGTGTGTGGGCTGGGACATGACTTTCATGACAGAAGCCAGTCAGATTCCAGTAATTACAGGGATAGTATACATCCCCCATCCCATCCCCATCTAACTGTGGATTAAAAAGACCTGGTGGCATTCCCTAGGGACATGATGACATAGGTGGTGTCAGCATCTTGGGTGTACTGGCTGTATGTGGGAGGGGATGTCCCCATTTTATGGCAGGGGCTGCCTTACTGCTCTGATAGCCCAGTCCTGAGGATTGGTGCATTTGGCTCTAGAATAAAAACACGGCTATCATGGACCAAGTGCTCGTGGTACACACTGTGTCTTATGCAAGAATATCTTATTCTTAGTTGAGGATCATCAGCAGGGAGAGAGGCAGGAACTGACACTTGGAGAGATTAAATGGTGTACAACTAACAGGATCTGGGCCTAGTTTGTCAGTCTGATGAGCCTCCATAGAGGACATGAAAAGTCCACAGACTCGCAGGTTCAAGGAATAGAAAGTTGGCTGAACCACCAGATGCATTGACTCACTGTGTATGAATTTCTGGGATACTACAAAGACCCCTGGTGCTGTGACCCGGGGGAAAAGTGGGCCTGAGGGCAGAGGGCTGTGGCTATGACCTCAAGATGTCACTACTGGGGACTGCCTCAGGCCTAGGGCATCTCCTGGTCAGGTCATGCTCAAGCATGTGTCAGTCGCTGCCCTATGCTCAGCTTCCCTGTGGCCTCAGTCTACTCTGTGGGCCTGGCCTCCTCTGGCCTGCTGGATAAGTGGGGAGTGGCCATGCCTGTGTGTGGTGCATGCCTGTGAGGCCTCACCCAGGGCTCTCAGCTCCATGGTGATGTCCACGTAGCCATGCTCGGCGCTATAGTACATGGCCTCCTGCAGGGCCTTTGTGCGGGTCCGGCTGAGTCGCACAGGTCCCTCGCTGCCACTGCCCTGGCTGGACGCATCACTTTCCTCCACGCCCTCAGCTAGGATCTCCTCTAGGGACAGCACGTCTGCTTTGGCCTGCTGCGGCTGAGTCAGAAGCTTCCTCAGGACGTTCCTGCAGGCCAAGGGGTAAAGGAGGATGAGGTCCCTAGGACAGATAGGCAATGTCTACCTGAGCTGCCTTCCAGGGCTCCATGGCGCAGATAGATTGCTCTGGGGCACCTGAGGGGGATCCCCCTGCTGTCCTGCTATTACTGAGGAATCACAGGCTTTGCAGTTGAGTAAGCTCTGCCCTCCTAGTTATGTGACCTCAAACAGGTCTGAGCCCCACTTATTTGTCACCTTAGGGTAGGATGCAAGCATCACCCTCTCCTGGGGTTGATGTGAGGCTAATGAGAAGGTATTAAATGCACATGGTGCCTGATACCAGGCAGCTCCTAAATAGCAGCCGACCACGCAGGTAACACGCCAGTCCTCACTGTTCCCCTCCTGTGCATTAATAGGGCAAAGTGGGGAGAATGTAGGGCTCCTTCCAGTTATAAAGATAGACTGGGCAGAGCATGTTCCCACGTACTGCTCCAGGTGATGGACCTGTCCTGCTTAAGGCCACACTGGGGGAAGTGCAGACCTGACCCCAGGCTCTTTTTGTCACATCCTGTGGCTTGTGGCTCTAGAATGGATGCAGCACAGAGGGACCCATATGACACCTGGGGGCTGAACCTCCTCTACACGTCTCCTAAGTTTGAGGTTCTAAGGATCCAGGGCCATCCCTTAGGGGCTGGCTGACAATAGCTGGCTCCTGATTTGGGGATTTGCTACTCTTGAGTTTATACACAGTACCTGGTTTGTGAAGGTGAACTTGCCGCAATGCCTTTCCTGGGATCCTGGGTCCCCACGAGACAGTGAAAGGCAGAGGAGCAAACAACTGCACACCAGGGGGAAGAGGCCACAGAGGGGCAAACACAGGGCATGGTGGCGTAGGGTCTGAGGGAGGTACAATGGTACCTGGAGGTGAGGTGGGTTTGAGTGGGTGAGTGTGGGGGCAGGGCTGGAAAAAAGATGCATGGACAGGGTGCTCTGGGGTAGGGTGGTAAGAGCCCCTGGGAACTGCAAGTCAGTTTCCCACCTGCCAGCCCTTCTTTTTCTACCCCATCTCTGCCCTCTAGTAACGTCTTCCCTTATTTCTCTTCCCACCCGATCCCCAGTGCTGCCTAATGGCCCTGGTTTCAGCCTGCTGCTGCCCCGTCACAATGCCAGGCAGGTCCACCATCTGCTCCTGGAGTGAGATGTGACTTCCTGCAGAGCCACCAGGAGCCTCTTTGCAGCTGAGCCATGTGCCATGTGGAAGCTCCTGGGGTGCCCCGAGGTGAACATAGGCCCTGGAGACTACCACCAGGCACTGGAAGGGATGTGGTTCTGAGCAGACCCTGGCAGCTGCAGCAGTAACTGCCCGGCTGGAAAATGGGACAGGTTGCCCTCGGCATCAGGCCCAGCCCCCATCCCAGATCTTTGAGGACCTTGATGCCAGGCCTCACTAAGCAACAGCCTCCAAATCCAAGTCCCAAGCTTTCTGGCTGACACAAAGATAGGCCCTGGCCTTTGGGGCCATTTCCTTTGCTGCCATCTGGGAGTCCAGGCTCCTAGCGCCTTGATTTCAGTGCCTAGACCACACAGGGCAGGCATCCCAGGGCAGGTACCTGTGGCCATGGGCGGCAGAGTGGCTGAAGCAGTTCATGTCCTCATGGAGGGAGGAGACCAGGCCATTGGCTTCGAGCATGCTGAGGAGGGGGTCTGCGCCTCGGCTCAGCAGCAAGCTGACCAGTTCGTAGTTCCCTGAAAGACAGGGGGCAATGCTGAGGATGCTGAGGGAAAAGGGATCAGGAGAGGGGTCTCCAAGCTCTGAATGTGGAATAAGTGAGGAAAGCCCATGCTCAGTGCATCTTGGGGGATGATGTAGAGGTGACAGGGAGATTGGAGGAAGAAGGCTGGCTGTGTTCTGTGTCCTGTCACACTGAGGAAGGGGCTTTGTGCCTGGTTGGGTCCTGCCTGGCACTGTGCTCAGCAGAAAGGCTAATGGCTGGGGTGAGGGAAAGCCCCACAGTGGCACGGAAGGAGGGACTTCAAGGGTTCCCAAAGGGAGTATATGGGCTAATGTCCAGCTTGGGTGACCCAGCAAGGAGGTGGCCAGGGCCTCATGATGGGGAGACCTTTCTGGACAGGGCAGCCATGCGTATACCTACCCGCTGCAGAGGCCAGCTGCAGGGGCGTCTCTGCATAGCTGTCCTCGCCACTGTTTACTGCCGAGCCTTCCACATGGGCACCAGCGTCCAGCAGCAACTGCGGGGTGGGGGGGGGCGGGGGAAGGGCGACACTCAGCATGGCAGGGAGTGGCTGCTGTGAGCCAGAGGCAGCTCCAGGGCACAGAACCTGTAATTCTCTCCAGGCATGTGACCAAGACATGGCTCACATTGGCAGTAGGAGAATTAGAACCTCTGAACTCCTGGTTACCCTTGGGGCTCAAAATTTGTAGAACCTTCAGCTCTGCTCTTGTGGCCCTGGATCAAGCCCCTAAGCTGTGACAACCTCTGAGCTATTTCTCTCTTTGCAGTACTTTCCTACCACCTAGTGTCAATGACCTAGAAAACTGAACAGATTGGCAGAACAGAGAGTGTCACCTGCAATGCACAGGGGAAACAAGGCCTGGGGAGCAGCAGGTGTTAGTCAGAAAGTGTGTGTGCAGTACAGGCCACAGAGCAGTGAGTGACCTGGGTAGGTACTTCAACTCTCTGAGTCTCCATTTTCCCCATCTGCAAAATGGGAGTAGAGGCCTGCCTTGCAGTTTTGCTGAGGTTAAATGAAATGATGCTTAACACACTGAGTTCAAAAACCAGTAGTACTTAGGTCTCACTGGAGAGGTTCAGTTGCTACCCTAGGCAGCAAGACAAGAGGTGGGGCTAGGCAGAATTTTGTGCATGCTCCAGGACAGCAAGTGGCCAATCCTCATTCCAGCAAGGACAGGCTTTGCCAGGGGACAGATGGGGCAGGGTTCACAGATACCAAGCGGCCCCATCTGGGCCAGGCCCGGCTCTGCCTTGGGGCAAGGGTGGTGTCTGCATTCTGCTCTGGAGAGAGCACCTTCCCAAGCTCCTCAGACCCCACTGCTCACCCCTCCCTGGAGACCAGGTGTGAGGAGCCCAGGTGACCTCCCACCTCCACAGCAGGGTGTGGGGAGCGGGGCATGGCTGTTTGCTGGAGACTCGTCAGTCAGAAACCAATCGTGCCCTGATGCCTGCACCAGTGCCAAGGCTGTGGAGGTGGAGGCCTGCCCAGTAGGATGAAACTGGGCATCAGTCCAAGCCAGCCCAGGGCCCAGCCTGAACATAGGTTGGAATTCCTCTCAGGTCCTCGGGAGGGCAGTAAATACAAAGCAGGCCAGGTGTGGCAGCCAGCCTGACAATGACCATTTACCAATTCCTACTATTGGTCAGGAATATACTGACAACCATTGAGAGTCAGATGTGACCTCTGCCCTCAGAGGCTTCAGAATCTAGCAGAGGAGGAGGGCATTATATGAAGTCCTGGGGGAGTGCCATGAAATCTTGTAGCCCCCAGTGGCATGAGAACCTGGGAGCTGGTGCCACTTCTGGCATGGGAAGCCACTCTGCCTCCAGCTTCTACTTCTGGAACCACCACCCCACAGTCATGGCAGCCACAGTCACCTAGGCCACGGTGGGCAATGACTTGGCTTGGCTCCACAGGTGAGCTGTGCCACTTGTCCTCTCTCAGGAACTGGGGAGTGGCGGGATCAGGCCTGCTCATGGGGAGGGGCAGAACTGGAAGGGTCCCAGGGCATGGCTCTGCAGTAGAATTCAGGAGAGAGGGGAAAGAGCAAAGGGTCAGAAAGAGGGCTGAGTTAGAGAACCGAGCACTCAGACAGGTCCCCGCTGTGCCAAGATCCACTCAGAGATACAGAAGTCAAATCCTTGTATAGCTGGAGCCTGGGCCTGGTTTCCTACAATTCCTACTGCATCCTCACACTAACCTCTTTCTTGAGGCAAGTGAGGTGCATTTGTCGACCAGGTGAGTCAGCCTAAAGCAGTGCCCCCCAGATCTCTGACTTGAGGCATCTGCTCCCTCAGGGGAAGCTGAGGCACTCTGTGCACCTGGCCAGAGCTCACCTGCACTACAGAGATGTGTCCATGCAGCACAGCAAACGTCAGTGAGGTCCAGTGCCTGCTGTCAGGGTGGATGGAGGGGTGTCTGGGAGAGTTGCTTGGAACCTGGAAAACACAATGCTCTCTGTTTCCTGGGTAGGTGACAACCCAGAGCACCTGACACAAGCATCTTAGCTAAGGGGGTGCCCTGCAGGGATGGTGAGCAGGAGTTAGCACAAGTGCTTTCTACATTTGATTGGTAATGTCTGCTTAGAGCACCATATAGACAAAGTTCACAAGGAAAGGGTGGATGTTTAAGTAGTGATGTCTGTCCTGGGCAAAGATGGCAGAGGAGAGGAAATGGAGCTAGTATTTGGGGATGGAGGATGGCTGGTGATTAGTCTAGCAAGAGAGGGAAAATACCATAGAAACAGTCATGGCCATTCTCTCCATTCATCTCTCCTCAGCTTGTTTCCTCTTAGACAGAAAGTCCAAATCTTGAGGATTGCTGATTTTTCTTTTTTCCCTCCCTCCCTCCCCTCTTCCTCCTCCTTCTTTATTCTCTTTTAAGATGGGGTCTTGCTGTCATACAGGCTAGTTTCCAACTGCTTAGCTCAAGAGACCCTCCCATCCCAGCCTCTTGAATGTACCACCATGCCTGGTCTTTGCTGTGAACTCTATGCACCTTGTATTTCTAGTCTTCTGAGACACATTTACGCAGTCCTCCAAAATATTGCAACTAGCTTGGGTGCTAAACATTGCAGTGCTCTCTTTATTAGGCCAGGGCCTGGCACAGGCCTCTGTGGGGTTTGCTTACCTGGATGTCCAAGTTTGCCCCAGCATCAATCAACATCTGGACCATGGCTTCATCCCCAGCAGCACAGGCGTACATCAGAGGTGTCATACCCTGTGTGAATCAAAGGCTGATGCTGAACTGCCTGGAACAGACCACACCACCATGTACCCCCCCTCCACCAGGCCTCTTCCTGGCTGCTCCTCCCCAGCTCTCCTGCACCTTGTACTTGCAAGACCCCCGAAGGACACTAGAAGGGTGAGTTGGGGGCCATTTCCGTAGCACTGTGACAGCAGAAAGTGAAAAGCACAGATCCTGCAGGCAGACTTGTGCAAAAGCCACCTCTGTCAAAGGAACTGTAAACTTTGTATAAGTTCCAGTTCCTCTCTGTGCCTTAGTCTCCTTATCTTTAGAGCAGGAACAGCAGTGCCTGTCTCAGTTGCTGCAGTGCGAGTTAGCGTGTGTCGTGTGCTTAGTACGTGCAGAGTGAGCTTACCTTGACTAAGAGCTAAGAAGATAGTGACAATGCCACCACTGATACTGTGTTACACTGCCCCTACTATCCCCTCCTGGACCGGGGCCTGGAAAGCCCTGGGTTGGGTGACTTACAGGTACCATCGCATACAGTCACCGTGCTGTTCCTTTGAGGGAGGAGTTACTGTTGTCTCCATTCTGCAGAGGAGCAGCAGAAGGAATTAACTGCCCAAGTCACACAATTAGCAAGAAGTAGAACTTGGACTGGAACCCAGGTCCACATAAGTTGGGAAGCTGATGCTTGGAGCCCATCACACAAGAGGGTGGAGAAGTCCAATATCTGTGCTACTGAGAAGTCCAGGGCTTTTCTGAAGCTGTGCCCTGTTCCTTCCCTGAGTTTTGGTGGGCAGTTGACATGGCTACCTCCCTGGCTGGAAGTCTCCCTCTGGGACCAGCCATCGCTCAGATAGCAGTGAAATGTGTTTTCCACAGTTGGATCCTGGCAAGCATTTGTCTGGCGCCCTGAGATGTTATTTATTAGGTTATTTGTGTGTATACAAGATCTCCTTAACTCATAAATCCTTGTCTAGTGCCAAGAGATAAAGAAATGGCCAGAAATTAATCACAGGACTAGAGGACTGTTTGCCCACACATCAGCCTATAAATATCAAGGTTTAAGAACAACAGCACTATAGCTACAGCAAGCAACATCATGGAAATTTGGCTTTGTTTCATCCCCTGTGCACATGCGTGACTTTTTCCTTCACACATCTGTACACAATTAGAGCATAAATGAGGCCATGAGTCCTGGAGGAGAAATCATTTTTTTGGTGTGCTCCTTCCTTCCCCACTCCAGGCACATAAAGAGGCTAAAGAGGCAGCAAAGTGACAACAATAATAAGCATACTGACAGCAAGAACCAGAGTGAACACAGACTGAACATTTTCAAGGTGCCAGGTGGAGAATTCTCCCAACAGCTCTACGTGGCAGGCACTTGGTACTCCTTGGGGAGGCAGGGTAACTTGTCAAGAAGCCTCGGCTATGAGGTGCAGTGCTAAACCCTGGCTATCTGAAGCTAAACCGCATGGGCTTCCACACTGTGTGCCTGAAGAAGGACGGCTCAGGATGAAGGCCCCCCAGACCCTCGACATCTGCATTGACTGAGAGCCATGTGTGGGATCTGACCCCAACCATCACCTCCCTGCTGTGCCACTGAAGCGCCCTTCTGTCCCATGATCTTCCCCGTCTAAGCTCTGCTCTCCAACTGTTTTCTTTCACATTCTTGCTCACATCATCCCCGTCCCCAGGACACCCTCCCCACTCCTCCTCGCTGTGCCCCGCCCCTGCCGCGCCCTCCTCTCAGGCTCAGCTCCTACCCCTCCAGAGGAGGCCATCCCACCAGAGCCCGCCTGGGCCTATGCTTCTCCCGGCGCTCCTCACTGCCCATGTCATGCTGTCATCTTGTCCAACACCACTGCTTAACCCTCTGTGTCACCTAACTTCCCCCGTGCTTCTGTGTGGTCTTCCAAACCACGGTGCCAACATGTATACAATAATGACATTGGATAAACAACTGGGATATTCCACAGTGGATCAGAGCCTGAGTCACACTGCCTGGCTTCTTACTCATTGTGCTACTTTGGGTGAAGCAGCCTCTCTGTGCCTCAGTTTCCTCACCTATAAAATGGGGGGAAATAATAGTACACATCACAGGGCTGCTGTCAAGATTAAATGAGCAATCTATGTGAAACACTTAAATAATGCCCCCAGAACATAGCAAAAGTATAAGCTGTTTATAGCAAAACCAAAAGAAGTAATAAAAACACATGAACTCAGGTTAAATTCTATCTAAAATTATAAATCACCTCCAACATTTCCTACTTTTTCTTTTGCTTTGTTTTACTCCTTAGCACTTTTTGTTACTATATGCTCTATTTTGTGTGCTAGTTTCTTACTGTCTGTCTCCTTACTAAATGTCAACTCCACAAGGGCAAGTGTTGCTTTGGTCTTGGCACATGGTGGACACACATGCTCCCATACATGTGTTAGCAATTGTCATGAATAGCTTGCTATCACCCTGACTCCTCTGGACTCTTCCCCAGCCCCACACTATCTGTGATAGTCACCAGCCCTTCAGTCAGGGAACCAGAATCCATAGTAGCAAGGTTGTACAAGGGGTCCTGGGGAATGCCCAGTCTGAAAGTCCACCTGGAACAGGAGGCAGCTCACCTCTCAGAATCACAGAGCTAAGCAAGTCTCGGGTTTAGGATACAGGAGACTATGCCTTCAACTCTACCAACTGTGAACGTCTTAGTCTAGTCCCTGAGCCCGGCCTAGTAGAGCTCTCAGAAATTACCTGGTCGTCCATGGTGTTCACTCCATCAGGGCCCAAGGCCTCGATAGCCTGGCTGATGAGGTCCGTCCTTCCACAGTTGAGCATGCGGAAGCCCAGGTCCTGGTTGAATCTTAAAGTAGCGGCTCGAGCATCCAGCCTCCGGAAGGAACTGAAGCAGCACTCGGGTCTGCCCAGGAGAGACCAGGAGGCATGTGAGCATGACTGTGGCACAGCTGGGCCAGGCTGACAGGTGGAGTGGGAATGGCTGGGTTGAGGGAAAGTCTGGGAATTAGGCTCAGGTCAGCCATGACTGCCCTCACCATGTTCTGTGACCTGAAGAGCATATACTTTGCTCTTCTAAACATGGGTTAAGGAAATACACTGTGCTCTTGGGAGCTGTCAGCAGTCAAGAACAAATTCCTAGTTAAAATAACCTCCCAGGGGATGACCCCGAGGACTCAGCTTGGGCTTAGGACCCAGCACCTGGCTGCCTTCAGTCCATAAAATGGTCATTATGGCAAAGTCTAGTTTGTGCCTCTATGTCTCTCTTCAAAGTTGCCTGGTAAGGTCTGCAAAGTACCAAAGACATGGGAGGACAAGGCCTAGAATCCCACTAGTAATCAACCCGACCTGCCAAGGAGAGTCACAGAGAAAACTTGCATCTGCACAGGGCGCACAGCAGATGCTCAATAGGCAGCTTTCTCCAGGGTCCTTGGTTAGGTCAAAGTCTGGAAAGTTCACATCTAGAATGTAGTTCAGGTATCTGTCATGCAGTCAGAGGAGACAAAACTGGGCAGAGGTCAAAAAAGTAGACGTAATGCCTTCACCAGGCAGAGATGCAGAGGGACCTGTGTAACAGCTCCTGCAGGAGACTAGTCCATGTGCAGGGGGCACCTCAGGAAGGGACAAAGAGCACAGGTGTGGGGGCCATATGGATCTGGACTCAAATTCAGACATGGTCAATGTGTCAGCTAAACTTCTGCGGCCAAGCTGCTGTCCCACCCTGACCTGTATGTAGTCTCTTCATCTGTAATATAAACAGTAGAGTCCCTTCTCCAAAGCTGTCACATGACAATCTAAAAAGAAGGTCACAGCACAGGGCCTGCCCCCAGGAAGTACTCAAGGGAACAGTGGCCATTACAGGAACAGAGGAAAGAACGGACACCCCAGAGTCACCCTGTGTGAGCTCTCCTGCCAAATCCCAAGGTGTATGTTCTGTGGACCACATAGTAGCTGCAGTGCATGCATCCCAAATGCACAGATCTGTTCCCTTACTCAGCCTTGGCATTTGTGGAGGACCCTCTTAGAGCAGCCCTACTGTCTGATCCCTGCCCAGCCTCGGCTCCGTACTTGAGCTGTCGGGGCTCGCAGTCCAGGCCAGGAAGCAGCAATCGGGCTGCCTGCCGGATGTCACCACTGTCCACAGTGAGGCTGCGGCGGTGCTCTGCATAGGTGATGGCCACGCGCATCCACTCCATCAGCGGTGGCAGCAGCATGAAGGGCCTGCAAGGCAGCAGAGAGAGGTCAGATCTGCGTGCGACACTCCCATGCAGGGGGCAGAAGGGGCTCCTGTAGCACCCATGTTCTCATAAAACAGCCATACAAAGGCGGGTCACCCCACAACCCTCAGCCTGTGAGGTGTGGAGGGGACCTGGTTCTTCTGCCCACAGAGACCCATTTGTTCTCCCATTCCACAGTAGCCTTGTCATACGTCAGGAGGAATTCTTGTTATGGGCCATTAGCAGAAACTAAGGACCCTTCAGCAGCCAACCAAAGAGGGGGTTCACCATCATGTGCAGGTGGGACTTTTGCCCCCTTCAAAGAACTCCGTTGGGGTGTCAGGGTCTTCCCCTGTCTTGTGGGAGGTGGGAAGCAGTGGAAAGGGCCAGGCTCTGAGCCCAGCTTTGTCACTAGCAACTGTCACCTCATCATCCTGAGACAAGCCCCCCTGAGCCTGCCTCTTCACCTGCAGTGTGGGTAACACCTGTTCCCAGGGTGTTGTGAGGCCAGGCTGAAGTGGCCCTACAAGTTCCAGGCCAGGGTTGCCCCAGCCTGGCATTCAGGGAGAGTAGCAACCCCAATCCCTCTGGGGAGCAACGGCCCCAGGGGCCTGTGTAACGCTAAGAACAAATGGCTATGGTGCCAGCAGAGGCTGCCAGTAGGCCTCTGGGCTGCAAGCACTATATGCCACCAGGGGGCACCATTCACTGGGCTGTGACAGTGTCCTCTGGCACTGTGGTACCAACACAGCTACCACCCCCCTGGGGCCTTCCCTGTCTACTATGCTGCCACACTGCTCCCCTCCTGCTTTGGATTTAGCCGGGCAGTAGGGGCTGAGGGGGTGGAGGTTTATGTGCTATTGGAAAAGGTTTCCTCTCATCCCCTGCCAGTTCTGGCAAGTCTCCCATGGTGAAGGCCCTCATAGTCCAGTGAATTTCATGGCCCCAGTAGCCAGTCTTCAGCTTCAGAACTCAATGGACACCAGTCTGCTGTGCCCAGAATGGATGTCACTCTTCCTTTATTCCCCTACCAGTCACAGAGAGACAGCAGCTCTGGAATCTTGCCCTATTCGGCTATTTTCTCTGATGATAGCCCAAGAGCCAGCCTCCACTGCTGCCTGTGTTCCCAGCCCCTTCTGATGCTTCATCCCTTCTGTCGGTTGGTCATCCTCTTAAACAAGCCAAGCAGTGGGCATCAGGCCTGGGCAGGCAGCCAGCCCCATTCACACTCTACTTCCTCTGATACCTTGGGCTCTGGCATTCTGGCTGATGCTGTCACTACATCATTCTCCCCAGCCCACAGCTAAATTCTCCAACCTCGAGTCAGAGGTGAGGAGACTACTGATGACCCTCTCCTCAGCTACCATGTAAGCCAGCCACAGCGCCCACTGGTCTCTTATCTCAGGCCTCTTGAAAGCTTTGACCATCTTTGAAGTTTTCCTCCCTGAGGGTAAGGGAGGCTTTTCAAACAAAACAAAATCCAGAATAATCAGATATGACCTTGAAGATGGTTCTTTGGGGAAGTTATTCTGAGGTTCTGGTTCTGCCCCTGCAGCAAATATGTCAGGGTTTATGTCACTTAACTCGTTCCCTGTGTGTACCAGTGGGTGTGAGGAGATCACAGGCCATTAAAGCCTCTCTGTTCCTGGTCTTCAAGGGCACTCAGGCCTTAGTCAATGGTCCCCAGCCCTGGCCAGCACCTGTCACTAGGACACAGCAGACCACCAGTGCTTGAGGTTCTCCAGGCTCACTGCTCATCCCCATCCCCTCGTGAGAATGAACAGCACTCACCACTGGTTGAGATTCTACTTATCTCAGTAGTACCTCTTTCTGAAGCCAAAAAAGCTCTTCCTGCTCCAAGACACCCTAGAACTCTCTCTTCTAGCACTGAATGTGTACCATCTTCCTGACTAGCCTATTCTAAGGTCAAGAACGGTGTGTTTCTCTGTGTTCAGGTAGGTCTGGGGCCTGACACAGTAGGCCCTCAATAAATGTCTATGGGATGTGTGAAAGTATGGGTGAGCACCAGTAACTTAGCATAACACATCCAGGTCTTCAGTTACGGACCAAGTCATGTTTCTGCCCTGAAAAAATGGCCTAATTTTCAAGGTCATGGTGTTGACTTGTGAGAGTGGGAAGACGGGACTTTATGGGGGAATCTTGTGCAATCTAGGAAGGAAAAACAATCCATTCATGGATGACCCTCTGTAAACAAGATCTCCCTTTATATGAATGCCCATTTGAATTCCCCTCAAATATTTTTGAATTTTACAATTCTTTCATTGCAAGGCTGGATGGCAAGCTCAGAGAGATACTTCTATATATCACTCCTTTTAATCCAAGGAGAAGGTGCTAGTTAAACCATTAGCATTGGAGACTTATAGGCGAATAAAAAGATAATTTGTGGATCTGCCAGTCAATTCTTCCCTGTTGTGGCCAATAGCCAAGACAAAGTGCCAAGTGTGGCTACTAAACCTCTAACTGGGCATCTTCCGGCTGTACCAGGGGAAATCCAAGAGGGAGTTGGAGAAATCACAAAGTGTAAACCAGATGGCATCTTGATTCATTCTCTGCTTTATGCTTCTTAGAACTCAGCACATGTGAAAATGCAGTACTCATAAACTTGGGTGGGTGTATACCGGGGATTGACTCATTCAGCCTTTTTGTACCATCTTGGTTAGAGAATAGAAACTACACTTCCCAGGCTCCTTTGTAGTTGAGGTTCTGGATACAAAATAGGTTTCACCATTAAGATGCTGCTCCATAAGCTCCAGCAAATGAACATGCGGGAGAGGCCACCTTTGAATCCCCTTTGTTTTTGTTAGCAAGCCCCCATAGAACATCCCACTGTTTAGTTTCTACTTTTCTTGTGCTTCAGAGGCAGAGGTAGTGGTGGTGAAAGCAACAGCAAAGACTTCTTGATTCCACTTCAATCCTCAATCTCATCTCCAGCTGCATGTATTCAACCAGAGCTCCAGGGACAATGTCCCTGATGGATGAGCTCTGTGCTGACCATGGAGTCATTCCAGAGGCTTGGCCCAGAATATTCCTTGAGCCCTTTCATGAATTCTGTTAGTCCCTACTTCCCTGCATTGAGTCCTTTCCAGCTGAAAATACCTAGCATGGTTTTCGTTTCTTGATTAATACTCTAGCATACAGAAATCTAGATTGCCCCTCTGCCTCTGAGGTGGTGGGTAGAGCCCAACTCTCCCTATACAAGGCTATGCCTGCCCCCAAATCAACCTCTTCTGGCCTTTTTTTGGCAGTACTGGGGTTTGAAGTCAGGGCTTTGTACCTGCTAAACAGATGCTCTACCACTTGAACCACATCCCCAGCCATTTTTACTTTGGCTATTTTTCAAAAAGGATCTCCTGTTTACACTTTCCTTGTGGCTGGGATAATAGGTGTGTCCCGCCGTGCTCAGCTTATTGGTTGAGCGAGAAATCTCATGAACTTTTTGCCTGGTCTGATCTCAAACACATCCTCATGATCACCTCCCAAGTAGCTAGGATTATAGGTGTGAGCCACTGTGCCTGGCCTCTTCAGGCCTTTCTCCTTGGCTTGCCCCTCCCTGGCCTGTGGTTCTTCGGTAGATAAAAACAGTAAGTAATTCATGGGCTTTCTCAGTAACGTCCCCCTCATGGATGTGAGTTCCAGGCTGTTTCCTTTCTGGTAATTTCATCTAGCCGACTAGGCATTGCTGGACATTCTGGAAAATCCCTGTGAAAATTCCCGTCTGTAGTGGGCATGGCAGTGTTATCACCCCAGGGTGGAAGGGCCTGGAGGAGGGAGGCTAAGGATAACTAATACACAGATCTTCCTCAAGGTCTCTGCTTTGCTCTTTCCAAAAGGAGGACGCCGATTTTCACTTCTTGCCTCTCCCCTAGGCTAGGCTTGACTGTAAGCCTTTCCACATTGGAATGGAGATGTCTGCAGGGGCATGGCCAGGAGCCTAGCTCAGGGAGGAGGAAAGCCCCTGCATTCAGCTACTCTGCCTGCTGACCTTCCCCCTAGATGCTCTGATACCTTAGAGTAGCCACTGTCAGATTTTTTTTTTTGTCTCAGAACACTTCTTATATTTCTAAAGATTATTCAGGCCTTCAAAGAGCTTCTTTCACGTGTTATCGTCTCATTATTGACGATCAGAAATTAAAACAGAGAAAATGTCAAAATGCATGACTGTGCAAACTCTCATCCCATTAGCTCTCAGAGTGACCATATCATCATGTCACACAGCCTCTGGAAAATCCCCCTGGACCCTGATGAGAAAAATGAGAGTGAAAAAAGCAAATAACATCTTAGGAAAGCATTTGTTTCTGACCCTGGGAACTCTTGGAAAGAGTCTCTGGGATCCCATGAGTCCCAAAACCACACTTTGAAGTCCTCTGCTTTGGAAGACCATAGCAGGTCCCTACGACGGCATTGCTCAGGGCTGGCAGGGTCAGCAAGCATGAGGCTAGGACTCTGCTCCTGATGGCACATGTCTGGCAAGGGCACGTTCCCTTGAGAGTTGCCCAAGTGGTGATGTTTACCCTTCTGGCCCAGGTCCCTCCCATAAGCACCCTCACTGAGAGAAAGTTTTAGTTTCTTCAATACAGGTGAACTGGTTCTGAGATGGTGGGCAGATGACTGCCTACTGTGGGTCTTTTTTTCTATTAAAGAAGGGTGTAGGTTACTGGTTTCTAGACAGTCTCACCGTGAGAACCCCTCTGCTTTTATTTCACAGACTCCACATGGCAGCAGCTGTACCTGCTGCACAGGACCAGTGCACAGTTCTGGAAGGGGAGACTGCCTGCCTGGACTCTGCTGTGTTCCCCCAATGTGACTCTGTGCAAGTTATGTCTCGTGTCTAGCCTCACTGCTCCATGAGCAAAGTGGGTCTAAACCATGGGACCACCTCCCAGGACAGTGGGAAGGGTGCACAACTGCAAGTGCTTAGCACGGCATTTGGAATGTGGTGAGCTCTCCATAAACGCTAACTACCATTACTAGTTTAGTATCTGTTGAAAGAGAGCACACAATACTAGCAAAAAAAGCGCACAGGAATCTCGCCTTACTGAGTGGCTCAGCTCCCTCCCGCCTTCTCCTGCCAGCAAGCACAACCACGTGAAGCCCAAAGAAGCCTGCCAGCAACTGCCCACCACCCGCTCCAGCCGGGCTCATAAAACAGAGCAAACAAATGTAACCATTATGTCGGGGGAGAGGGGAGGAGGCTGCAAACTTTCTGCCAGCACAGGCCTTCCAGCCTTGGCAGTGAAATTCACATAAAGGGCCACAACAAGGAAGGCAGACCTGGGGTCAGGAGTCAGGAACATGTGTGGTGGCATGGGGGTGGGGAGAGAATTACTTCTAGGGATTGGCAACCCTGACGTGCTCTGGGTGCCTGATCTAAACATCACCACACACATGCAAACAAATCTGGTAGCCACTGTGACAAACACAGACACTAAAAAGAGCATTGGCTTTCTGGTGGCATTTGTCTTTGTGTGAACGGCAGAGCAAAACTATTACCATGTGGGGAGAGCCCACAAAACACAGCAGTGAAAAGGAATCTTTTTACATGACTAACCAAATCCTCTCACTGCTAGAGAAAAATCAAAATCCAAAGAGGCTAAGTGCCTCGCACAAGGTCACACAGCCAGTTCAGCAAGCAACCAACACCAGACCCAGGTGTCACTGTTCACTTTCTCTTTCTCTCTCCATCAATCATATTGATGAGTCTGACTGTACAAATCCAAGGGTCTCCTAAGACCCCTCAAGAGACCCAGACTGTAAAATCTACTTTTCACCCTTAGAAAAAATGAAGGGGAACAAACTTAAGGCCTTGGTTTTAAGAGGTCCCTCCAGCCTGGAAAATAAAATAAACCCTGCCCTACTCCACGAGTGTGTGATTTATTGGGATTGCAGTCCTAGAAGCAGTGTCTGAACAACATGGAACAGGAAACGCCCCTGATTCCAGCTCAAAGCAGGCTCTGTTCTTTCTCGAGGTGGGCAGGGGCTTTGGAACGAGAGTCAGTTTGGCAACTGGGTACTGGCCTGAAGTGGAGGCCGTGTGACCCAAGCTGCATACTGTCCCCAACCTGATGTGCTGAGTGTGTGGGGCCAGCAGGTCTGTCCTCCTCTGCGTTCCCCTGGGAGGTTCTGGGCACAAGGACTAGATGTGCCCACTGCTGGAAAAGGGCCAGGAGAGCCAGCCCAAGCTCGGCCCTGGGAAGGCTGAGCCACAGTTTTATTTCCCCTCAGCTGTGACTCCGGCGTGCCTTCCTGGCTCCTTGTGTTGGGAGGCCTGGGAGATTTCCCCATTGGCCCCTGAGCACTGCCCCAGAGCACTCTGGGAGCCCAGGGAAGAGGAGCCAGAGAGCCACACCACAGTGCTGCCACTGAGCCCTAAATTCCTCCACCTTCAGTAGAGGCAGAGCCAAGCTCTGGGGTTTAATGAGGTAGTTTTCCCCTGAAATGCCATCTTCCTACGGATCTTGCTGTGAACCACGCTGTTCCTACGCC